GATTGTTTCCACTTTTAGGATATTATCAAGAATGCAGCTTTGAATGTTTGTGCATAAGTTTTGCTGTGACATATGTTTTCATTTGTCTTGGGTATATACCAAGGAGTGGAATTACTGAGTCATATGGTAACTCTATGATTAACTCTTTGAGGAACTGCTGAACTGTTTTCCAAAGTGGCCACATTACTTTACACCCCTACCAGCAATATGTGAGGGTTCTAATTTCTCCACATTTTTGTCAGCACTTATTATTGTTCATCTTGTTGGTTTTAATCATCCTTATAGATCTGAAATGATATCACATTGTGGTTTTGATTTGCATTTACCTAATGACTAATTATGTTGAGCATTTTTTATGTGCCTATTGGTTATTTGTACATCTTTGGAGAAATGTCTATACATAGTCTTTGCCCATTTTTAAAAAAATTTTGGGTGGTCATACATTCTGGTTTGCCTGTGACACTCTCAATTTTGCCTATTGTAGCTATTTTTTTTTGTACTTTGATTTATTTATTATTGAAGCATAGTTGACGTCTCTACCCATTTTAAAATTGGGTTGTCTGTTTACGGTGAATTGTGAGAGTTTTTTATTTATACATTTTTTTAGTGTTTATTTATTTTTGAGACATGATGCTCCAGGCTCTGAGCTGACAGCATGGAGCCCAGTGTGGGGCTTGAACTCACAAACTGTGAGATGATGACCTGAGCTGAGGTCGGACATTTAACCAACTCAGCCACCCAGCCACCCAGGTGCCCCAAGAGTTCTTTATTTATAGATGACCCTAATCTGTAATAGTTTGAGTTACAAGTTTTTGACTTTATGATGGTGCAAAAGGTACACACATTCAGTAGAAGCTGTACTTCAGGGGAGCCTGGGTGGCTCAGTCAGTTAAGCGTCTGACTTCAGCTCAGGTCATGATCTCACGGTTCGTGGGTTCGAGTCCCGCATCGGGCTCTGTGCCGACAGCTAGCTCAGAGCCTGGAGCCTTCTTCAGATTCTGTGTCTCCCTCTCTCTCTGACCCTCCCCTGCTCATGCTGTCTCTATCTCTCTCTCAAAAAAAAAGAAACCGTACTTCAGACTTAGAATTTTAATCCATTTCGGGCTAGTGATATGCACTACAATCCACTCTTATGATACGGGGCAGCGGCCCGGAGCCTTAGCTCCAGGTCAGCGACATGGTCACAAGGGTAAACACCCAATACGCTCACAACCATTCTATTTTTCACTTTCAGTACAGTGTTCAATAAATTACATCAGATATTCAACATTCTATTATCAAATGGGCTTTGTGTGAGGTGCTTTTACCCAACTGTAGGCTAATCTAAGTGTTCTGAACACGTGTAAGGTAGACAAGGCTAAACTATGATGTTGATGTCAAATCTAAGAACTCTTTGCTTAGTCCTAGATCTTGAATATTTGCTTCTATGTATTATTTCCTAAAAACATATAGTTTTCTGTTCTATATTAGGTCTATGATTCATTTTGAGTGAATTTTTATTTATTTATTTATTTTTAAATTTTTAATGTTTATTTTTGAGAGAGAGAGAGACAGAGAGAGACAGAGCACGAGTGGAGGAGAGGCAGAGAGAGAAGGAAACACAGAATCTAAAGCAGGCTCTTAGCACAGAGTCTGACATAGGGCTCGAACCTGCCAACCATGAAATCATGACCTGAGCTGAAGTCAGATGGTTAACCGACTAAGACCACCCAGAAGCCCCTAATTTTTATTTTTTTAAATGTTTATTCATTTTTGAGAGAGGAAGAGAGGGAGAGAAAGAGAAAGACAGAGCATGAGTGGGAGAGGGACAGACAGAGAGGTTGGCAGAGGATCCAGGCTCCAGCCTCTATGCTGACAGCCCCTGATGTGGGGCTCAAACTGACAAAATGAGATCATAACCTGAGCCGAGGTCAGACTCTTAACCAACTGAGATACCTAGGCGCCCCGAGTTAATTTTTATATAGGATAAGACGGGTTTTCCCCCCACGATGAACCCAGCACTATTTGTTGAAAAGGCTGTCCTTCCTTCATTGAATTATTACTATATTGAGATGACGGTCTTGACTAATCACACCACACCATGCTAAAATACAATTTTTTCTAGTCATAAAGTGATTGGAAAACAAACCACAGCATATTAGGTATTTCGTGACAAATTTTTGAGATTTAGAGATTTCTTTTTTGAGAGTCCTAATCTTGTCCCTGTGTTTCTTCCTCTAATAAGTAGCCTTTTACTGAGAGCTAGAAACATGTGGCAGAATGGAAACGCCTAATCCATATGTCTTAAGCAAAGTTTGGAAAAAAAGTAGGAGGAAGACAAAAAAGAAAGACAAGGGAGGCCCTGCACTGTAGCTTTGAATCTATTACTTTTTACCTGGGAGACCTCGAACTGCCTTCCTGCCTGCAAATGGGAACTGAGGGCTTTCTTTGCTGACTCCTTGCAAGTTACATCTCACACATAGAGCTTCCCGCCTGGCTAGGTCTGGCTGCAGCACACCTCTGGCCCCCAGCGGAGAGGAGGGCGTGCAGGGCTTCTATTTTCTGGGAGTCCAACTCTCTTCCTGAGCCCGGAGGACATTGGACTTCAGGCGTACACAGAGCTGAGCAGCTGGTGAGTGGAGAATTGGGCTCAGCCATGTCAGATGGAGGGGTGAGGGTGCCATAAAGTGCTCTCCACCCTGCCCCATACACCACGCTCCCGCCTTCCCTGAGGCGGCAGAAAAGATCAATGACGTAAATGGATTAGGGAAAGCCTGCTCGGCCTCTTCCTGCTGTCACCCCACCTGGGGCTGGAGATTAGTGGGTGGCAGCTGGGTCAGGGGGACAGACGTTTAAATGTCAGCTTTGCTAGAAAGGAGCCCTTCTAAGAAGAGAGGAAAATAGAAGACCAGACTCCTTCATCCTTCCTCCGGCGAATCAGTCCCGTGCTTCTCTGTGAGTCTGCACTTTTGCAAAAACACAGAGCTTGCTTTCCTTCTAGTGATTTTTAGTCTTCAGGCAGGTGCTAGTGATCATTATAGACGGGCTGGTGTTGGCACCACATCCAACTCTGCGTGTGGCAGGGGAAAAGCCATGAGTCATATACTGGAGATTAAAAAAAAAAATGTTGTTAACCTACTTTCCCAGACAGAGAGGAGAGCAGGCACAGGCATAGGTACCTATGTTACTCGCACATAGGTAACTTTTTCACAGCGCATACCTGGCACAGAGGGCGGTGCCATTCTCATGGTTCATTTGTTCATTCATTTATTCACTGAAGCCTTAATTTCAGAGTTTATTTCATTCCCTGAATCGGCCAGGCAGCCTCGCCAGCCCCCCAAAAAGCATTTCTGTAGCTTCCTCTGTGTGCCTAGGCCTGTGCCCAGCCCCCAGGGATGCAAGTGATCAAAGCATGGTGCTGCCACGCCTCAGAGGGGGCTGGGCTGTGCCTGGGCTGGAGTGGCGAGCGTGGGCCCAGAGAGCTTGTGGACATTGCAGACACTGCTACTCGCATGTCTCTGCAGGCATGAGCCCAGCCTCTGTGACCCTGGCCAGCGCCCTGCAGGTCAGGGGTGAAGCTCTGTCAGAGGAGGAAATCTGGTCCCTCTTGTCCCTGGCTGCTGAGCGGCTCCTGGAAGACCTTCATGAAGGTAAGGGCGTGTTTGGACCAGTTGAATCACAGGGAGTTGAACACGAAGCTTCCCAAGCCATCTCTGGTTGCTGCTTCTCAGGTCTGCTATCAGTCCAAAGTATTAGATCAAGTAGTCAAATGACACCTACCTATGGAGCTGCACTGAGACTCAGGCCTGTCTCTCCCGACCCATGGCATACAGAAGAAAGAAAGGCCTTGCTTCTAGGGAGACAGTGGCTGCAGCCATATGGGCCTCTCCCAACACCTGGACAGTCTGAGCCTAAGGGACAGGAAGCAGGGGCTGCCCTGCTGACACTCCCAGATTGTGCCCTGCCAGGTGATGTATCACCTGTGTCCCATCAGGGGCTAGAACCCACATACTAGGTGGTCTAAAGAGCAGGAAGGACATTAATATACAGAATTCTTACATTCCAACAGAAGAGTAATTGTAAGATGTGGTTCCCGGGGAATGAGATTTGTACCAGTGAGGGACAAACTTGGAAGGGAAGCCCCTTCCCCAGACTGGGGTTCAGATTTGCTGGAGTTGCTGTGCTTGGAGCCCAAGGTGACGCGAAGTTCGCTGCTTTGCCGGGCCAAAACTGTCTGGCAGTCACTGAGCAAGCGAAGCACAGGGATCGCCACCAGGGACGAGGGTGACCCTCTGGATGGAGGAGGGCATCGGGGAGACACAGCTTCCGGAGCTCGTGCTGCCAGAAGGCCTGGAGCCCGCAGCACCTGTGCAGGAGTGATCACTTGACCAGACGGGGCCTGGAGGTGCTCGCAGGGCCACGGGTCCTGCGTCAGGGCAGAGCGTCACCAAGTGTCCACCAGCATGAGCTCTGAGACCCTGAAACAGCAGGAGGGCCCCGCCTCCTGCAATGTCTCTCTCTCGCGCCCTCTGCTGAGAAAACTGCATGTCGCACGCGCTGTAAAGAGTTGCTGCTTGAGGGAGCAGGTATTGAAAGATGAATTTGGAGCTGCGAGGCGTTACATTAATAACTGAAAAAAACATCGAGTAGGCACACTCACACGTCAGCTCAGAAGTCACTCGTGCTTGGGGACTGCCAGCCTGCAGCAGAGCATCCCCACACATGAGTGAGATCACATGAGTCAGGTGGGTCCCAGTGTGGGAAGATACAGGAGGCTGCTGTGCACTTCTACCTTCAGTTTCATCTCCCCTATGATTCTTCACTCCCTCTTTCCCTGGGTGTTGGTTCGGGGAGCGGGAGGGGAGACTGATGAACAGGTACAGTACACCCAGAAGATCAGGTGCCCTGTCCCAGGCTTGGCTCCAAAGAACTCAGACTTGGGCTTATTTCCAAGTGGACCTCTTATCTTGAGACCCTTGGGGCACTGAGGAATTTAGATGCAGGTGGCTGTTGTCCTGGCCATGACCGCAGCCGCCGTACCTAATGCTGCTCTCGTGCACACATGTATCAGGGTTGAATTTACCCCACTTCTTGTTACCTTGGGCATTGCTCTCAGTCCATCCCAGGGGCACCTGCTGGTCATGATCCCACAACTGGCCCTCCAGACAGTGGTCATTCTCTGTACTCCCATCATGGCCTTGGTTTCAGATTCCTCGGACTACGTGGTCTGTCCCTGGTCAGCCCTGCTGTCTGCAGCCGGAAGTCTCTCCTTCCAGGACCACATTTCTCACATAGAGGCTGCTCCTTTCAAGGCCCCTGAACTGCTGCAGGGGCAGAGTGATGGTGAGCAGCCTGATGCATCTCAGGTAAGATGTGTGACATCTCTGTCACACCTTTGGGCCTGTCCCAGGGAAAGGCATGGAACTAGGACCTTCAATCTGTCCTTGGGGTGGCATCCCCAGCTCCCAGTTTAGCCCCAACGATCACTTGAGGCAGAATAGATTTAAATAATTTTATTCCTAGTCTTTTTTTTTTTTTTTTGGCCAGTCTTTTAGCTCTTCGATGAAGACAGGTCAACTTCTCTGAGCTCCAATTTCTACACCTGTAAAATGGGGTTAACGACTTAATCTACCAGCTTATTATAAATATTTAAAGTCTTGGTGGCTTCCAAGGTTGGTTTGTCTGGGCCCACGTGTCTCTGAGTCAGATCACATTAGTGAAAGCATCAAGTTTCCCCATTGCCGTGGCCCTGACACTGTCACTCATGGGCAGACACCCAGCACCCCGAGCCCCTCCACCCTGTCTTACACTGACAGAATCTTGGGGATGAAGCCCTGGACCCCTGTGTTAGACACAGACCTTGGTGCCTCTCAGTCCCTCTGTTTGGATGTCTCTGATGGTGCCATGCAGGACTCAGGTGACATGTCACAGCTGGAGCCATGGGATCTGACCTGCTGAGCAACCACTAGAGGGGCACGTGCTGATGCATCCCAGAAATGCAGGGGACTTAGCTTCCTGGGGGGTGAACTGTGGCAAACTGGCACTTAGTAGGCCAGGTCACCTGGGCATCATCCCTCTACACAGCATCCCTACCGCTCAGTTCTGTTCATTGCTTTTTTCTTCTGTCCACTGCAGTCCCCTCTCTGCATCCACCTCTGGTCAGGTCCCATGGGAGGGGAAGGGAGCAGTCAGGAAAGTGGTCTCAGCAGAGGCTCGGCTTACCATCCTCCCCCAGCTCCGGGCTCCTTTCTGAGCTTTGGAGGCTGTACGCTGACTCCTCTCCTCTGACCAACATCCAGCTCTCCCTAGCACACAGAGACCTCAGCTCTCCCCAGCAGAAAGAGACATTTCCCCATTGCTTCGAGTGTTGGTCCCAGTGCAGGTGGAAGGTGTGGGCCTGCCTCTAACCACCAGTCGCTCTTATCACTATCACCCCATCCTGCGCTCATAGCAAACATCAGCAATCGAGAGTGCTGTTCTCTCCTATTGTGCCAGGAGTCACATTCAAAACCGTCACCACCCTTTTCCAGGCATCCTGTACTAATGGGCTAGATTTGGGATTGTGGAGGAAGCCTGTTGTCACTTTGGCCTTAGGCATCACCCAAGAGTACTTAGAGCGTTTGGAATGCAGGTCAGTTCCCTGAGTGTGGATGGTGCCTCTGGCAGTGCTCAGGGCAGTGCACCAGCATCTGCTCTCAGGGCCATTTCTCCGGAGATGAGAATGTCTAGTCACACTCCTCAGAGGACTGGTTGATTGATTTAGGGACATCATTTCAGAGAGAGAATTGGCGCATGTGATACTGGACACATGCTCTTGACCTATGGATGCAAAAACCCGAAATCAAACTCACTTGTATTTTACTGAGTGGATGGCTCAAATAACCATGCATTTTTTATATACCGTGCTTTAATTCAGCATCTCTCTTCTGGAGTTCCAAAAGTTATTTCCTGCAAAGAGAGATCCTAGGGGGAATGTGCCTTGTCAATTACAGCAGAAGCCCCACAACAACAATAAATTGACATTCATTGAAAACTTAGTGTGATCCAAAGGAGACATAGCCAAGGCCCCGTGCCTGGCTTTAGGTCTTCTTTGGGAAAGTTCCCTAAGTTCCCTTCGTGTTGCCTCTCCTGTATAAAGAAGACAATTAAAATACCAACATCACAGAATGGTGGTGAGGACTAAATGAGTTAATCTAAGTAAAAGGTTAGCGCAGAGTTTGGCATGTAAGTGCTCTGCATCCGATAGTGATAACAATAATTATCATTACCATTTCCAGGTTCTTTTTATAAAATCTTCATAAATATTCAGGCAGAACACTCACTTTAAAGATGAAAATGAGGACCAGAGAAGTCAGATAATGCTCTTCCATTTCACCTTGTTGCTTTCTGACAGGTGATGCTCTTAAAGCACAATGGGCTGTCCCATAGTGTGTCATGTGCAAATGGTTTCAGCTATGTGCATCAGAAAGCCTAAAATACAGTGGCTGGCACCGCAGATAGAGTTATTATTTGCTTCACGAGGCGTCTCGGGATTGCTCAGCAGCTCAGTAAATGTCATCAAGGATCCAGGCTGTGTATTTACATTCCACCCTTTTTAGTTGTTGGCTTTTTTTCTTTTGCCTGTTGCCTCATGGTCTCAAGATGGCAGCTATGATCCATATATTTCATCAGTGTTCAAGGCAACATTGAAGAAAAAGTGGGACCATTACCTGTGTTCTTATCATCAGTAAAGCACAAGCTTTCTCAAAAGCCCCTTAACAGACTTCCCTTGCGTCTCCTGCCAAAGTGGGGTGTCATGATCACTGTGGCTTTAAGCAGCAAGAGTGGGAGGCAGGAAAGTTCATGGGAGTTGCACACGGTGGTTGGGCTAGGCAGCCAACGGTGTCTGCCGCACGTGGAAATGGAATTGTGTTTTGTTTGCAGGACTACAGAGTAACAGAGGTGACTGAAATCTAATCTTGTGCTTTTTCTCTTGAGCAGATGCACGTCTATTCTTTAGGAATGACCCTCTACTGGTCAGCAGGCTTTCATGTGCCACAAAATCAGGTCTGTAAACAAGATACTCAAAGTCTTGCCAAGCCATGTCTTTGGATTGAATTAGCAATTTTCTTCAGGACAGGGATCACTTCTCTTGAGCTGCGCGCCACCCCTCAGTCGTGTGGGTTCGAGGAAGGCATTGCCAATGGGTCACAGAAGTGCTCCCGCTGAGTCCAGGAACCACCACAGAAGACTACACAACCCAGTCATCCAGGCAGCCATGATTTAGGGCTGGCAAGCAAAATAAGACTTATCTGTTCAGAGGAAGTAGCAAACTAGAGGATTTTATAGATAGTGAAGACACAGATTTATAAAACAGGCTTTAAAGCAGCCCTTCCCGAAGTGAGATGCTTCCCTGAAAAAGGGTTCTGTGCTCAATCGATTTGGGAAAATGCTCCCTGTAATATCTTCCTCTCCAAGATTTTACAGAGTAATTTATTAAAGACTCTGAGACAGCCTAAAGCATAGAAAATTTTAAATTTTATCACAGCACAGTATAAAATTTTTGACTATGGAATATGTGTGTGTGTGTGTGTGTGTGTGTGTGTTTGTGTGTGCAAGTTTTCATCTGACCTATAAGAATTCCTTATAGGTCAGTGTAACAAGAGCCAGGGAACCCTCCTTTTCCTTCCTTCCTTCCTTCCTTCCTTCCTTCCTTCCTTCCTCCCTCCCTCCCTCCCTCTTCCTGCCTGCCTGCCTGCCCTGCCTTCCTGCCTCCTTCCCTTCCGTCCTTCTATATCCCTTTGTCTCTCTGATTCAACATCCCAATGTTTCCTGGTGCTTTTTGCTCTCCTCCCACCTCATGTGAAATCCCACTCTACTCATGGCGTCATCTTCCACTTCTCAGCAGGGCATACCTGGAGCCCCAAATTGTGCTCTTACCTGTAGCTCTGGTTCCTCTCTGGAGCTCTGCCATAATCTGGGCCAACTTCACGGGCGTGTGGCCTGTGTAATGGCATAGTGCCCTGCACTTACAAGGGCCCACGCTTGATTTAATGCTCTGATGTCACTGTCTCAAAATTCTTAAAAGTTGTGAGCAAGGGGCCCTGCATTGTCATTTTCCCCTGGGCTCTGTCCTGCCCTTAGTGCCCTTCTTTTCAGACATGCCACCCTTACCATATACTGCTCCCTCTATCTGCGGTTCCTCCCCCCACTTTTCTCCCGGTTAATGCTAGTGTGTGCTTTTCGAGATTTAGTTCAAGTTCTTTCCCCCAGGCAGGATTAGACCTTTTCCTCTGTGTTATCACCATGTCTATGCTTCCCATGATCTAAATCCTTGTTTCTCTCTCTCTCTCTTTTAATGTTTATTTAATTTTTAGAGAGAGACAGAGTGCGAGTGGGGGAGGGGCAGAGAGAAAGAGAGACACAGAGTCTGAAGCAGGCTCCAGGCTCCGAGCCATCATCACAGAGACCGACATGGGGCTCAAACCCACGAACTGTGAGAGCATGATCTGAGCTGAAGTCAGTCGCTTAACCGACTGAGCCACCCAGGTGCCCCAGTCCTTATCTGTTTAGGTGACCATCTTTCTCATGAGACTGTGAAGTCCTTGAAGGCAGGGACAGTCTCCCACCTTGTGATTCAGGCATTTGGGTTTGCTGTATGAGTTCAGGACACAGAATCCCTGTTACACATGGAGATGGAATTCACAACTGATATTCCATGGCAAGAAATGGTAGTGCAGCCTTTATCTTGAAAATGACTCACAGTATGGATGGGTGTGACAAAAAGCCTGATTCTGGGTCTGAATTTGAAGAGTTCCCCAATATAAATGGTGGCCACTTAAATGCATGAGGGAAATGCTTAAGAAAATATTTTTTCTTTTGCTTGACGGCTGCATGTGACATAAAGTTCAACCAGTGATTTTTGACCTTGTGCTGACCACTGGAAATTCCAAAGTATGAAAAGGCACAGCCCTTATGTTTCTGAAGCTCAAATTCTAGGGGAAAGTCCCAGTGAGATCCACCTACATAATTCGAGAAGGAATTTGGCAGAAAGTAATTGAGGAAGTAATTTGAGAAGTAATTACATCTGAGAAGTAGTCGAGAAATAATTTGACAGGTTGCCCAGGTGGGTGTGAGTTGAAGGCTGATCCCTGGTTTGATGTGAGTACTTGGCATGGGTGGAAATCCACTGTGTCAAGCACCTATTTGTCATAAGTATTCCAAGCACAGGATTGTGCTCTCTGAGCACCGAAGAACATTCCAGACTAGAAAGCAGCAAACTTCACACAACTGGCCCAGAGATAATTGCTCTGCATTTTGTGGCCTCAGTGATATATCCTGTGTCCGTCCCTAAACCCTCCAGAAGGAGCAGGCGTCTGTCTAGTGGTAATGAGATCATCTGTTTTCATTAGTCCCCACCACCCACCCCACAAGGTGTTGGCCTCAGTGGTCCAGGCTTCTCACGCAGCCCCCCTTCTCTCCAGCCCCTGCAGCTCCGTGAGCCCTTGCACTCCATTCTGCTGACCATGTGCGAAGACCAGCCCTGCCGGCGGCTGCCCTTGCAGTCAGTTCTGGAAGCTTGTCGGGTTCATCGGGAAGAAGTGGCTGTATACCCAACCTCTGCCAATCTCCACGTCAGAAGGCTGGCTGGCCTGGTTCTGGGCACCATCTCCGAGGTCAGTGTAGATCTGTGCTTCTCATCCCAGGAGCCACAAGCTATGGGTAGCTGTTGACATTTAAATCAGCTAAATGGTAGTTAATTGAATTGAAAATAAAATCTTCAATTCCTCAGTCATACGTACCCGCATTTCAAGCCCTCGGTAGCCATGTGTAGCTGGTGGTGACCATACTGGACAAAGAAGATCTAGAACAATCCCAGCATTGCAATTTCTGTTGGGCAGTGCTGGTGAAGACATTTGAGCAAGCCCAGATTTCTAATGTGGCTGAGATTCTTCAGATCTTTCAAAGAGTCTTTACACAAAGGCAATAACATCACATGTTTGAAATCCATGAATCAGGTCACCTGTCAAAATTCAACTAGGCTTCATGCAAAGAACTTTCCCTGACTGTGCCTACAGCTCCTGGCCACTCCTTCCCTCTGCTATCTTGTGTCTGCAGTTGTCACACTGTGTTGCTTGCTGCCCTAGCAAGAAGCTGGCACATAGTAGGCATTTGACTTACCTGGGATTCCCTCTAAACAAAGCCAGAAATGGTGACACTTATGCATGTTATTTATTGGGTATGTGCCCGTAGGAGAGGGGGAGTGATGGAGGGAAGACAGGATGGGAGATAAGCCCAGGCAGAAGGTTGTTCAGACGGAGACAGCCTCAGCCTGACCGCATGGAGGGTGGAGTGGGGATTCTGGGGCAGAAATTGCTTCCGTGTTGGCCCCCTTGAGGCCGGGGCAGTGCTGCGACTGGGGAGAGACAAGTGAGGTGCCTGTGACAGAAACGCAAGGAGGTCTGCATTTCAGAGGAACCAGAGGGGGGCAGGGCTGGAGACGGGCCGGGCATCTGCGTACCTGTCCAGGGGGTCGGTTGGAGAACTGAGACCAAGACTAACACAGGGGCCGTGTGGACTGAGAGGAGGGGACTGCTGGGGCGGATGCCGTCCACAGTCAGTCAGAAAATGCCAGCTCTATCTTGTCCTCCTTCTTGGATCCCTTCTTTCTTGGCATCTAAACATGTCTCCTATTCATTGAGCCAGAGGGGCTATGATGAAGCATAAAGCACAACAGTAAGGTTGACGGGGTGGGGAGGGGGGCAGACAGACAGGCAAGCAAACGTGATATAATATGTCATAGAAGGAGATGTGAGTGATGTGATGAGGGAATGTGACAAAAGGACACTTCCCTCTGCCTTGAGGGGAGAAGTAGAGAGGTTTGGAAGTAGAGAGAACATGGCTCTGGGTCTTGGAGGCACACAGGAGCTCAGCAGGGAGACCCTAGCCAATAGGGGGAGCACATGGGCAAAGGCAGAGTTGTGCCTGAGTGCCCTCGTGTGGGGGGAGGGGAGTGGATTTCCTCTAGGGTGCCTGTGGGTGATGCGGTCTGGGACACATTCCGGTTGCCATTGTTGGCTCTCACTGTGTAGGACAGACCCTTCCGAATGGACTTAGCAGCCAGTCTGTATGTGTCTGTATAAATGTCCCCCTTGACTTTGGGATGCGGATGTGTGATGCACTTGACCTTCAGGTGGAGAGGAGAATTGTGGAGGAAAGCTCCTCGGTGCAGCAGGACAGAAGCTGCCTGCTCAGGAACAGGCTGCATCAGGCGAGTTGCGAGAACGCAGCGGTGTGGGCCCTGGAGCGCCTGCACCCCTGCAGAGGTGGGTACAGCGCCCTGCTATTCACATTCTATTGTCTCCTGCCCTGAGGGGGCCAGATGGCCATGCCCTGGTGGCATAGAAAACCCGGGCAAGCTGCCCTCTTCCAGAGAGCCCCCGAAGAGAAAGGGCTGGGTCCTGAGGAAAGCTTCACCTGGAGATACTTATTTAACAGTTATTTATATCACACATGAAATTTTTTTATTGAGTTTTAACTGTCCAAGCTGATAAGAACAAATTTCAACCCACAACATAACAGGAAACTTTCTTTTCATTAGTTTCTAGGTGGAGCAAAAGGAAAAGCAATCTGCAAAAGATTGTTTTTGTTGCTGCTATAGGCATGACCAAGGAACGGATTTTAGAATAATCTTTTTTAAAAAAAAATTTAATGCTACTATTTTCTGTCCCTAAAACGAGGTACTCTTTGCCACTAGGTTTTATTCTCCCCCTCAAAAAAAAAAAAAAAAAAAAGCTCCCCTAACCTCCTCCTATAGCTGTCATTTCCATTTCTCACGTGAGCAAATAGAGAGGGTAAGTACACCTCACAGCCTGTAAGTCATGATGCTGATATACACTTGATTCAAGACAGCCGTGCCGGGATGCCTGGGTGGCTCGGTTGGTTGAGTGTCCGACTTCAGCTCAGGTCATGTTCTCACGGTTTGTGGGTTTGAGCCCCATGTCAGGCTCTGTGCTGACAAACAGCTCAGAGCCTCGAGCCTGCTTTGGATTATCTGTCTTCCTTTCTCTCTGCCCCTCCCCTGCTCATGCTCTGCCTCTCTCTGTCTTTCAAAAATAAGTAAGTGTAAAAAAAAAGAGAGAGAGAGAACCATGCCTTTTGCCTTTCTCATGCCCTCCACCACGCTTTTTGGTTAGTTTCAGAGCGAAGCACGGAGACCCAGAGCTCCCTGGAGCCCGGCCAGAGCACCTCAGCACACAGTCACCGTAGCCTCTCTGTTAGCAGGTAAGCAGCAAGGCGTCAGGAGCTGGGCCATATGCGTGGGGACTGCTGATACAAAACCCTTTGCTTCTCCAGAAAAAGCTGATCCAATTGCAGTAGCAGGTGAAAAAAAACAACAACAACAAAAAAACACAATTAAGCAGCTATGCAGCCAAGGTGAGGAGAGGCCAGATGGCAGCCTCAGGCCATTCTGTCTCCTCTGGGAACCAAGTTCATTTCCATGTTGTTGTGATTATCTGTTGCCCCACGAGACAGCATAGCAAGCAACCACAAAACACAGTGTCTGAAAATAACGGTTTATTGAGCTTCTGGTTGTGTGAGTTGGGAATTCAGGCTGTGCTCCGCTGGAAGGTTCTGGACTCTGCCAGTGCCCTTGTGGTCAGCTGCAGCCGGGCTAGTCCGCTTCACTTCTGGGGGTGGCTGGCTGTTTATCTGGGGGCACCCTGGCTCTTCACCAGCAAGCTAGCACAGGGATTGTTCTCATGACAATGGCAGAGTTGAGAAAAAGAGAGGGTGGGAGGGAGGAAGGGATAGAGAGACGGAAGGAGGAAAGGACAGAGGGATAGAGACATACAAAGGGCGGGGGTGGGGGGTTCAGGGAGAAGAGGTGGCTGGTTTGGAGATCAATGTAATATAGATGCTTATATCTACTCAAATCCACATGAGCTGATACCCTCCTACATCTGGAACATTAGGAATTTTGAAACTTGGGTATTTATTTTTTTATATATCAATTTGTTGTCCTTCCATGACTCAGCCAAGGGCCATGGCAGTACTTGACCTCCAATACACAGCTGGGGCTTGACAGGGTGCTGTAGAGTTCACCTCACAGTGATTTTGTCTGCTGTTTAAAACTCTGTTTTCTCTTTGCCCAATTAAAATGGCTTTTTTTCTGATGCTATAAACAATGTATTTTTCTCACTTCCAAAACATCTTAAACAATATATAAAATTCTTTTTTAAAGACTCTCTTTATTTTTTTAATATTAATTTATTTTTGAGAGAGCATGCACGTGTGCACTCATGTGGTGGAGGGGCAGGGGGTGGGGGGCGGAGGGTCTGAAGCAGGCTCTGCGCTGACAGCAGAGAGCTGATATGGGGTGAGATCATGACCTGAGCCAAAGTCGGACACTCGACCGACTGAACCACCCAGGCGCCCCTGAACAGTATATAAAATTCTAAGCTGGAAAGTCTGAACTTCCTGTGATCTCATCACCTGTGTCAGTCAGAGTGTTCCGGAACTGGGGACACAGGACCTGCCTGTCCTGAGCACAGTGAGCCAAAGCAGGGAGTTGGGGATGAGGAAGAAGTGGACTGTGGCCTTGCACCTCAAACCCCACCCTGCTCTTTTCCTATGCAGCCCTAGCTGCCTCATTGGAAAAGGTGGACATGGTAATTTCTCCCATCGGCATGGGGCCAAGGCTAAGCCGAGCATACCCTGTCCCACTGAGCACCTGCACGTGTGGGCATTTACTGTGGGAGGCTGTTCCCATTGTTAAACATCTCTCCCCTTCTTGACCACTGGCCAGTGCTCTTCCAACTGAAGGTTCCCCACATCTTCAGGAGGGACAGCAGCTCAGCTCCAGCACCACTCTGTCTGTGGCAGCAGAAATCTCACACCCAGCAACTCCTTCCCGAAGAGGTTTTCCTCAAAGAAAAGGAAAGGTGAGCAAAAGAAGACCGAAGGACGTCCTCCAAAGTGCTTTGAGTAGGGACCTGTGTGTGGATGACACCGTAGTTGAAAATGGGCAGGGTCCTCTGGGGGTGAGGATGGCCAGGCTCCCTGGGCTGAGATTTACAGAATTAAACTAAAATAAACTTTGCAGTTGTGATCCAAGGCGATAGGTGTTTATTGAGCGACCTTGTTCTGGTAAATGATAGAAGGTTGAACATGCCAGGTCCCCCTATTCAGGAAGTTGGTGGCCATCAATGTGGGATGGTGACAAAAGAAGGTATGTGAAATAAGAGGTTCTGAAAAGGCCGAATGTATTTGGAAGGGGCCTTGCGAGCAGGCAAAATGCAGAACAAAGTTGGGTGGGGCAGAAAGGGAAGGGAGATTCTCCATTCTGCTTGGTACACAGGGTAATAGGGTTTGGGTGAGTGTGGGGAGTAGAGACTACAGAGTAGCTAGGCCAGCACACCTTGGCCTTGACATCCAGGCTGACAGGGGGATGGATGTCCAATGGCCCCTGCAGTGTGCTCATACCTCTGGGAACACTGTCTCCTTGCAGGTAAGCCAGTCTTTCCTGAGGGTCCAGCTTGTTAAGCCTGTGCTGGAGGGTGAGATCGGGTTTCCTTGTGCGGGAAACAGCCCTGGCACCAGCCAGCAGAGCCACTTCTGGTGGTTAGAAGAGAAGCACCCCCATCCTTGAACAACACTGCCATTAGCTGAAAAATTGCTTTAATAATCACACAAGCCCTCAGTGATCACGAAGAGATCAGGGCTCCCTGGAGTGAGGACACACCCCCACTGAGGAGGCTGTTCACTGAGGAGGCTGCCTTTGCCAACCATTCTGGATCCCTTTGGGTACTTCAGACCCAGATGCCCCCAGAAAGCTTTTGTCTGTCTGTCTGTCTATCTGTCTGTTGCAGAGAGATTTGCTTAAAGCTCCTTAACCAATTCATGAGTAGTTGAGCCTAGAGTGGCCTCAGGACATCCTCCGCCTTGTGGCTGTTGGCCTCCCATACTCCTAACCAGGCCTTGCTGCCCACAGAGGCCACTCTCAGGTTCTCATGAGCTTGGTGAGTGGGCGGTGTGTAGACAGGGTCAAGGAGGCCTTTTTCACCTTCTTTGGTTTTTCTTCATGGTCACTCACTAAGGATGCTTCTACTGGAAACTCTCTCAGGACACAAGTCACATGCTGGCTGGCCTTTTGAGCTTCTGAGACAAGACTGTTGGTGGTTCCCTTGGGGGACACATTAGTAAGACCACCCAATCCTATTACTCTCTGGTGTTAGAATTGGGCCAGTTTCTTAACCTCTTGGAGCCTCAATTTCCTGCCCAATGGGTTGAGAGTATCCACCCCACAGGATGATGGCTAGGTCTAAACAACAATGGGTATTAAAGTATTTCCTGGTCACAAGTGTGATACAAACAATGTGAAATTCAGAAAAGCTGCCCATGTACCTTAGTGATTTAACATGCAGAGGTAGAAAAATGTTTCATCAAACCTAAATCTAAAGATATTTTTGCTTTAGAAAATCTCTTGCATATAACATCTATTTGTATTATATATCTATTTATAATTTTGATACATACAAAAGACTATGTAATCATGCGTGAATTATGAAACATATAACAAAGGAGACACCCAATGTAAGAGCACTATACTCATCTTTAAGACATTGGCTTTGAAATGCCCTGCCTAGCTGGGACCTCAGCCTGGTTGAGCCCCATTTCCCTGAAGTCTGTTTCCTGCTGGCTCTGGGGAAGGAGGTATAGGTAGGGGACAATGGGAGATGAGCCCACGGGGGAAGCCCAATCCTAGAGCCAGGGGGCCAGACCCCTGGAATGTGACTTCTCTTCTGACCACAAGTGACTCTGATTGCTTCCCATAGTTCTCTAGGCCGGAGTTCATCTTGCTGGCTGCAGAGGCCCCAGTGACTGTGCATCTGCCCGGATCAATTGTGGTAACTGCTGGGTTGGCTGGGCAGGGGTGGAGGGTGGGGAGGGAACCACTCTGCTCGGCAGGCCTGGAGGCTGACTGACCTCTGAGTGGGGTCTCAGACTGGGAGGGCTTTGGGGGGTGGGGGTTGCTCATTCTCTCTTCCAGGCTCCTACCAGTGCTCTCTGCCAAGTCCCACCCTTGCTTCCTGTCTTCAGCACTTCCTCGTCTCCTTGAAGAGGAGCCTTATGCTACTTCCGGCTCATCCTGCTTGTCTTTCCAGAATCAACTCCACTTTGTCACCTTAATGAGTCAGGAAATATTGTTTGAGCACCTTGTAGGTGCCAGGCCTCACTCCAGAGCCCAAGTCTATGTAATGTGAGCAAAATAGGGTCCTTTCCACCTGGAGCTCACATTCTAGCATATTTGTGCTTGTCTATTTTCTGAGGTGGAAAAGTCAATCTCCCTTCCCTTAGCTCTGCTGCCCCAGCCCAGAGAAGACTATGGACCCCTAAGGGGTTCACCCTCCATATGGAGGGCACTTGGTACCTGGATTGAGGATGGGCGGGAGGCTTGTCCCTGCTGTGATCCACTGAAAGAGCTTCCATGATACCAGCCCAGAGTGGGGACAGCCACGACCATACCCTGCTCCAAGATGTCTTGGGGGGGGGGGGTGTGCTTTACTGAGACCCTTCCAGAGCCAGCCTCCTGCAAAGGAGGGGAGCAATAGGCTTCCCTGGAGAGTGGAAAGGGGCAGTGGGAGGGACAGGGTGGGCTGGGCTGGAGCACCACGGAGTAAAGGAGCAGAACCGGTCCTCGTAGGTGGGAGGATGAAACTCCCCTGTCCCATTGGACCTCACTTAGAAAACACACGTTCAAAGGTGCAACTATTAAAAATTTCAAGGGGGACTCCTATAGAACATTAAACCCAAGAAGAGGGCCCTTCAGAGCACATGGGGTGGCCCCACACCTCTCTCTTAGCCTCTGCACCCGGGTGCCTCAGAGTGTATTGTGTGATCAGCCCTGCCCAGGATCAGATAGGAACCCTTTTGCACAGGGTCCTCAGCTCCACATTCACCCCTAGAGTGTGGGGGCAGCCCCTGAGTGCCACAGGGTTGGGACATGATCACAGGCATGGTCTCCAAGGCACTAAAGTCACACATGTCAGTGTTCATATCCATGACGGTCCTCTAATGGGGACTTTCTGGGCTCACGTGCAGCCCAGACCCCTGACTGAGCTTTGGACATAGGGGATACTCGGTCTATGTCCTAGGGAGGCCAGGGCTCCGAGCACAAGGTGCCATGGAAGTAGAAAAGGGAGTGGGTGGCTCTACCTTCCAGGCCCTCCAGAGAAGGATTTTGAGCCAGACCTAAAAGACTAGAAGGAACTAGCCATGAGGGGAAGGAGAGGAGGAGTATTCAAAGCAGAGGACATTGTGTGCAAAGACACAGGCTGACAAGCCCATGTGGGGGCAGGATGATGGGTGGCTGAGTGGTGGCAGCTGAGATAGCAGATGAATCTAGAATTAATCTGAGCAGGGTGAAGAGAGAAGCCGGGCTGCTGCTTATCTTTGGATGTGGCTCTGCTGACCAATTTCTTGGTTCAGAACAATCCCTTTAGCTCCTATCTCCTCATTGGATCTGTGCCCACCCCTATTCTCTCTGCTGTGCTCTGGGTGGGGGGTGGGGGGACTCTGGAAGAACAGATTCAGGGTGATTGACACCCTTGGGACATGTGACTCATGGATGAGGTCCCTGAGCCTCCTAAGCCCTCCTAGGAAGCGGAGCCCAAGGGGCAGCAGGGATTTCAGCAAGGGGGGGGACATCCGCTGGGCACGCCCCCCTGCCTTCACAGGCCCTGCAGTGCCTTGTAGGGTCTGGTTTTGAATCCAGTTCTGCCTCTTACTAATTCTGGCACCGTCTCTTTCATGCTTACCATCCCTTACCTAGTATCTCTGAACCTCATTTCTCATCTGCCTTATAGGAACCCTAATTATCTCGTAGGGTTGTTTTTCGTTAAGTGAGACAATGCATATAAAGTGCTTAGCACAGTAGCCAGCCCACAGTAGCCTCCATGTGTCTTAGTTACTGTTATAATTGATACTATTATCATTTTCAGACCAAAAAAGGGAAATCCTATTTGGCTCTCAGGGCCCTCTGCGTCGTGCTGTTGAGTGGGCAGTGTCTGGAGGTGAAATGTGACATTATGTCAACAGCAGGAGCTGTCTTCAGTGCTGTCACTTCTTTTGTCAACCTTGGGGAGCTCACTTACTTTGGCTTGGCTTACATGAAAGGTAAGAGTGTGTGCATCGCCTACTGCTGGCCTGGTGCCTCGTGTAACCCAGATACCTGGGTCCCTGAGCACTAGATCTTCTAAAAAAATTGCTTGAGGCTGGGACGCCTCACCTTGCACATTTAGATGACAGTTAGCATGGTGAAGCTTCAAGCACTCATCGCAAAGTGTGAAGGAAGTGCAGAAGATGATAATGAAATAGTATATGTAAGAGGTTATGGGTTTCTGTGATTTGCTGGGTCTGGTTGATCTGGTTGATTAATCTCGAAGCACTGATGTTAGATAAGTGAATGTTAAAAGCATCTCCATATAGGGATGCCTGGGTGGCTCAGCCAGCTAAGTGTCTTACTCTTTTAAAATTTTTTTAAAAATGTTTTATTATCCATATTTGAGAGAGAGAGTGAGACAGAGTGTGATCAGGGGAGGGGCAGAGAGAGAAAGAGAGAGGGAGACACAGAATTCGAAGCAGGCTCCAAGCTGTCAACACAGACCCCGGCATGGGGTTCGAACCCACGAGCGGTAAGATCATGCCCTGAGCTGAAGTTGGGCGCTTAGCCAACTGAGCCACCCAGGCGTCCCAAGTGTCCTACTCTTCAGCTCAGCTCAGGTCTTGATCTCAGGGTTGTGAGTTCGGGCCCCATGCTGGGCCTCACTCTGGGCTCCACGCTGAGCCTGGAGCCTACTTTAAAAAAAAGCATTTCCACATAGGTGGGAATATAAAATGGTGCAACCCCTGCAGAAAGCAGTATAGTGGTTTCTCAAAAAATTAAAAATGCATTCGTCACATGATCCAGCAATTCCACTTTTGCACACATGCCCCAAATAATTGAAAGCAGAGTCCTCAAGAGAGGTTTTTGCACCCATGTGTGTAGCAGCATTGTGTACAGTAGCTAAACGGTGGAAGCAGCCCTAGATGTCCATTGACAGATGAATGGTGTAAGCAAAATGTGGTATATACATATGATGGAATGTGATTCCACCTTAGAAAGGAAGGAAACTCTGACATATGCTGCAACATGGAAGGACAGGAGGATGCTGCGCTGAGTGAAATGAAACAGTTGCAAAAAGACAAATATTGTATGACTCCACCTGTGTGAGGTACCTAGAATAGTCAAAATCATAGAGACAGAAAGTAGAATGGTGGTTGCTGGGAGGAGGCAGAGGGGGAGAAGGGGGTGCGGTTTAGTGGGTACAGCATGCAGTCCTACAAGATGTAGAATTCTGGAGATGGATGGTGGAGAGGCTGCATGGCGATGCAAATATACTTAATTGTACTGAACTGTACATTAAACTATGGTTAAGATGGTAAATTTTTTATTATGTTTATCACAATAAGTTTTTTTTTTTTTTAATTTCGATAGAATCATACAGGACTAATGGGAACTCAGTAGTCCACCAAAGAGCCATTATGAAGATCCTGAAGGAACAAGTTTTTCCCTTTTTCCCAGCTCTGCCCTTCCATTGGGGACTTTTATTTCCATCTGTGCAAATATGCCTTTGCTGTAGTTGAAGCTCTCTAAGTGCTGTGAGGGAGAATGGAAGGGAGGTAGAGTTCGGATTATTTGGACTCTCGGGTTCAATTCTGGCTCTGCTGGCCCGTCTTGCTTAGGGGTCATAATCTTGGTGTTCCTCTATTCTCCCATCCCCCAATGGGAGAAGCTCGGGAGCTTGTTGTAGGGTTAGTTAGTGTGCTGGGCAGGGGGACAAGGAAGGGGTGTCTTCTCCCTATAGGTCTCCACAGACCTCCAAGAGACCCCCCTCCCAAGGAAAAGAATGACCACTATATGCTTTGATGTGATGGACTGATGTTGGCTGGATCTTTTGTAAAGTATGAGAGGAAGAATCTTTAGGAAACATTGTATTTGGATTGATCTGTAACATGCAACCTAAAGAAAACCAATGTGCTTGCTCTGAGTTCAACCTTGAGCATATCCTGGTCTGTTTCCCACGGTCAGGCGTGCATCCCAGACCTCCTCCTGTGGGCATTCTCGAGCCTGAGTAAAATGCTCAAAAGTCACCAGTCTGGGGCTTGGAAATAAACCCATCGGAAGGGTTTGCTAACCAAACTGTAACCGACACCTGTGTATCGTTTGCGAGAAGTGGCCCCACGGGAAGGGTGAGTTGGTGTGAGGGGTCAGATTCAGCAACAAGGGCTGGGGTCAGGGGTAATGGAGGTCTGGGCGCTGTCTGGAGAATGCTTTTTGAACTTTTCTGGACACCTCCTTCCCTCTCCCCAGCACGCACAGCTTTTGAGAGAAAAGGCTGGTTATTCGCTTAAAAGGTCTGCCTTCCAAAACTGCAGAATTCCTGTGCCCGGGCCACCTGCTGTATGTGCCTCTGGGCTGAGAGGGTGAAGCATGGAGAAGGGTGTGGGCAGAGCAGGGCTGAGGCAGAGCTGCACGGGTCTCAGAGGGAGTGGGGGAGGGGGTCAGGCTTCAAGGGAGGAGAGCAGAGGTGCAGAGGCAGTGAGTGTCTGCGGTGGCTGGGGCTGATTCACCCTCCCTCCCAGCAGTGCTGGAGGGCAAACTCAGCCTGACCAGAAGTCCTGACCTTGGAGTGGAGTTTCCAAGCTGGCAACATTCAGGTCGAAGATGACTCCACGTGTGTCCTGTCAGTCTGCTGGGGCTATTAGAACAAAATACCATTTGTATTTCTCGCAGTTCTGGAGACTGGCAAGTCCAAGATCAGGGTTAGAGCATCATCAGGTTTGAGGTTCTGCTCCTGGCTTGCAGATGGCCACCTTATCCCGGTGTCCTTACATGGCAGAGAAAGTGAGCCCTGGTTTCTTCCTTTTATGACACTAATCCCATCACGGAGTCCCCATGATAAACCGAACTACCTTCCAGAGGCTCCCCCTTCCCCCATTTCATTGGAGATACAGACATTCAGTCCATATCATGTTATCTCTATATGATGGTAGCTGGAAGGCAGCTATTAAGCGGTATCTTCTCCAAGATAAATAATCACATTTCTCCTCTGGGTGCTGAGTTCCTCTTCCTTGACTCTCTCCTCTCTGTTTCTGACTGCTGGCCCCCCACAGACCCAGCAAAGGTCCTGTGGTAGCAAGTGTCCAGAAGACTTGCTTGTCTCCTTTTTGACCCTTCTGGGCAGAGCTCAAGGCTGTGGGTGTGAAGGGGTGGTGCCTGCCTGACTGCTCTCTATTCCCTCTCTATTTCAGACAAAGAGTTCTTTTTCTTGGACAATGAAACCAGGCTGTGCAAAATAGCCCCTGAAGGCTGGAGTGAACAGCCCCAGAAGACCTCCTCAAATACCTTCACACTCTTTCTGAGGATAAAGTTCTTTGTCAGTTGCTGTGCACAGCTCCAGTGAGTGCTCCAAAATTCTTCCTTTGTTCCTTAAGGGACCTGTGTGGGTGCAGGCTGATGTTAGAGGTAAGGGGTAGCAAGTGCTTGGGGAAGAGTAAATTATGCACAGGTAACAACAGCCATTGTGGTTGATCTTGTTGAGAAGATTCCAATATGATAGAAGAGGGGGAAGCCAGTGTTTGGGTTGTGGTCAAAATGAGAACTTGCCCTTTTATTTCAAACATGGTCCAAAGCCAAAGTTCTCCCTTGACCCCAAAATAACCCTCCCCAAGCAGCAGATCAGGGTTGGAAGAAAAGATGATGTGTGGCTTTGGAGCCGGGTCATTGCCTCTTCATTCCTTTGCTGACTGAAAACATTATCTGAGTATCAGCTTTCTCACTTGAATCGCAGCAACAAACATCTCTGTGGGTGTTGGGTCAAGTGCCTGGCACAGGGTCACCCTCAACTAGTGGCAAGAGGCATGAAGTGGGTAGAGGAAACCACACTCATCTTACTGGCATTGCCCTCTGGGTTCTTTTAGCTTGCATCCAATCTTTTCTCCTTTCCCTGCTTCCTGGACTGACAAAACCCTCTGGTTTTAGTGTTCTTTCTCCCTCTCTGCATTCCAGTGACTCTTATTCCTGCCTCTCTTTCCCAGGAACAGCCAGACAAGGCACCAATTTTATCTGCAGCTTCGGAAAGACATCCTGGAGGAGAAGCTGTACTGCAATGACGAGACACTACTGCAGCTGGCAGTCCTTGCCTTGCAGGCTGAGTGTGGCAACTACCCCGAGGAGGTAAGGGTGGAAACCTGGGGCTTGGGTCATTGGAGAAGCAGTTATGGGACAAGGGGGAACTATTAAAAATGTGGAGACTGAGACTTTGAGAAGAGTTTTCAGCATCTATCACTGAGATTGAGGTAAATGGCATCCATGCATCCATGCATCCATCTATCCATCCATCCACCTACCCACCCATCCATGCTTCCATGCATCCATCCATCCATGCATCCATCCACCCACACACAACCACCCATTCATTCATCCATGCATCCATCAATCCATCTATTCATCCACCCATCCACCCACCCACCCACCCATCCATCCATGCATGCATCCATCTCTCCATCCCTCCATCCACCAAGCTTTCACTGAGTGCTTTGCCAGCCTGTGAGGGTACAAAGATGAACAAGTCAAGTGTATACATTGTAATGTATTTCTAATTTGAGGTTTCTCCTAAAAACAATAATTTGCTAATTTATTGTGTTCCCACCCTCTTCATTATCACCAACAGTAATGACAACATTTATTAAGAGATCACTCTGTACCTACCATTGATCTAGACAGTCTGCTGGGGTCATTTTGGTCTGGCCTTGTGTCAGAGGCTGAGGAATATTCCTCCAAACTTCATATGTTGAAGCCCTAACCTCTAGTACCTCAAGAATGTGACTATATTTGGAGACAGGGGTCTTTAAAGGGGTGAGTACATTAAAATAAGCTTTCTGGTCAGGTCTTAATCCATTCTGACTAGAGTCTTTGTCGGAAAAGATTAAGACACACGGGGAGACACCAGGCATGCAGGAGCACAGGGGAGAGACCAGATGAAGACAGGGAGAAGATGGCGAGTCAAGAAGAGAGGCCTCAAGAAACCACCTCTGTCAACATCTTGATCTTGGACTTCCAGCTCCCAGAGCTGTGAGAGAATAAATTTCTGTTAATGAAGACATCCAGCCTGTGGCATCTGTTACGGCAGCCCCAGCCAGCTAAGTCAGAGAGGGAGAAGCTGCAGCCAGCAGCGAGTGTGGACACCTTGGGAGGGATCTGTGTCTTTAGTCCTCACGCAGTGTGGGGTGGAGAGAGTGCCTGTTCGCCTCAGGGACTGGATTCAAGAGCAAGGACCAGTTCAAGAGTTAAAATGGTTCTCGAGAATCATGGCTTTCAAATGTTTTGTGCTATGACCCACAAAAAAAAAAAAAAAAAAAAAAAGATAGACATTATGACCCAACCCACACTCCTAGATACATAGAACAGAGCTGAAGCAAAAGTTTGGGAAATAAGATGCACTCTTTCTATACGTGATACACATTTGATGTTTCCTATTCTATTGTGGTTCATGCTGGTTATGAACCATTAACCATTAGCTCACTGATGTGTTACAAGGTGCAGTTTGAAAAACACTCTTTAGCCTATAGCATTATCATGTTGCCTTATTCCCAGTAGATCTTCAGAAGGGACTGCCATGTCCAGAGTCTTCCAAGGCCCTTTTTATCCCTAACTCTGCTGCATTTTTCTTCAGAGGATTTACCACGTCCTGCATGGTATATGCATTTATCAGCCATCCTCCACCTCCAGCACATTCCCCGGGTCCATGGAGCCTCGACATGTCTCACTGCTGTGGACCAGAGCAGGTCCAAGACGCTCTCTGCTGTCCCCACATGGCCCCCAAAGGCAGACACTGTTCCTTTCTCTTGTATGAGTAAAGACAACAGATTACACAAACCCACTCATTTGGACACTCGCACCCCCAGTCTTACTTTATGGAGGGCCTGCTCCACCCTTGGTATCATCGAAGCCCTATGTGAACCCCACAAAGCCCGTGTTATTTCCAGCGGCAGTTGAGAAAACTTGCGCCTCGGTGAGCTTAGGTAAGCTGGTGAGAGCACAACCTTACGTGGCCTCCTAAGGGGCTTATATTTTGTTGGATAAATGGTTCTGGTGCTGGGGGAAAAAAATTTAATTTGGAAACCACTGTAGTAAAAGACTGGGAGCCGCTGCAGAATTCTAAGCAGGGAAGTGACATGATTACATTTGCATTTTAGAAAGGGAGACAAAGACATGTTGGTATAAAAATAAATCTCCTTAATCACATCGTTGCAACAGAACAGCTCTCCTCTGGGTGCATTCTCTTCCAGCCATTGATTACATGTGCAGGTGTTGTACAGGTGTAAGCATTGCTGCTTCCATTTGCATTCGGCCTTCCCACTTGCTGGCACATGCCTTCCCGTGGAATTCCTCATCATTTGTGACGATGACAGTGGGAGCCTGAGCACGGGCAGAACTTTGCTCACTTTTCCATTCCCCCACCGTCAGGCATCAGTGCCGTGTAAATGCCAAGTAAGTGGTAACTACTACTATTACCGTTCCTGTTGCTTCTGATCTTTCTTTTTGATGAACGATATAGAACTAAATGCTTGTGTTAGGGCTTTTTTAGCTGCATGTTGACTTCTTCTCTTGGACATATTCCTAGCTGCGTCAAAGGTCCTAAGTGCTTGTAGGTTCATGGCGAAATTGAGTGGTCAGTACGGAGATGTCCCGTATTCCTTTCCCCCCACACATGCATAGCCTCCCTCATTATCAATATCCCCCACCAACATGGTACATTTGTTTCAGCTGATGAACCTACATCGACACGTCATTGTCCCCCAGAATCCATTGTTTAAGTTCATGTTCACTCTTGGTGTTGTGCACAAGATGTCCACAAAATGGTTTGAACACATTTATAATGACATATGTTCACGAGTCATACAATAGTTTAACTGCCCTGAAAATCTTCTATCCTCTATATATGTGTCCCTCCTTCTCCTCCACCCCCACCCACCAACCATCCCCTGGCAATTACTGATCTTTTTATTGTCTCTATGGTTTTGCCTTTTCTAGAATGTCATATAGTTGGAATCATACCAGAAGTGGCCTTTTCAGATTGACTTCTTGAAGTTAATATGCATTTAAGTCTCCCCGCCCCCATGTCTTTTCATGGCTTGGTAGCTCATTTCTTTTTAGCACTGAATAATGTTCTGTTGTCTGGATGTACTATAGTTTATTTATCCATTCACCTACTGAAGGACGTCTTTTGCTTCCAAGTTTGGGCAATTATGAATAAATTTGCTATAAACACCCACGTGCAGGCTTCTGTGTGGACATACATTTTCAACTCCCTTGGGTAAATACTGAGAAGCATGATTGCTGGATCATATGGTAAGACTATGTTTGGAAGGCAAATTGTCTTCTAAAGTGGCTGTGCCATTTTGCGTTCCCACCAGCAACGAGTGAGAGTTCCTGGTGCTCCAAATCCTCACCAGCACTTGGTGTTGTCAGTATTCTGGATTTTGGCCATGCTAATAACATTCTGAACGGTTCTCTATGCAGCAGATTGCTGAGCAATTTCTTTCCATTTGTGTCTGGGCTTAGCTCAGAGCTGGCATGGGCGAGCTCGCAGTTGAGGAGTCTTAGTCCATGGTCATGTGGGGACAGGTCTTTGTCACACCAGGAGAGGGGAACAATTCCCTTCAGATCCCCTCATCAGACCATCTTGTCCATCACTGGCCCCGAGAAGGCAAGATCCTTCCATTTCCCTGCCTTCTCCACAGGTAATTGACCTCAGCTCTGGGGAAACGACGTGCCCAAGTTTAAGGTGGGAGGGGCTGCCTGAGACCAGGACATGCTGATTCAGGAATACAAGGACAGGGTCAGCTTCCTCTGAAAGTTCTGCCTTCCTCATTTCTTACAGTGGACCCCAATACCAACCCCTCCAAAACTTCTTTTTTTTTAAGTTTGCTTATTTATTTGGGGGGGGGGGGCAGAGAGAAGAAGAGACAGAATCCCAAGCAGGCTCTACTCCAACAGCGTAGAACGCCATGTGGGGCTCGAACTCATGAGCTATGAGATCATGACCTGAGCTGAGATGGCCCCTCCAAAAGTGCATACCTCTCTGCCCCAGAGTCCATATCAGGGAACCCTGCATTAGACGGTGAGGGGTGCTGATCTCCTAGCTGCTCACAGTAGGGTGACAGCCTCAGGGTCCCTAAAGAGCAGAGGTTCAGGCTTGGGGTAAGGTGGGGGTATCAGATCTCTTGTTCAGGAGACAACCTCTGGATCCCCTTCCTGTGGTGAGATGTGGGCACAAGCCAAGACCTCCTTTGTAAGAGGCAACAGTGTACTCGGAGCACATGCAGACAGAAATGCTAACTGAATAAAAAGAAACAAAGTTTTAGGGCTGGGGTTTTGCTGTGACTCTTAGGAAGTGGCGTGCCATCATGAAATGTGTGAGAGCATTGGATGACTGAATCTTGTTTCTGTCACTCATCCTGCCAGTGGCAATAAAAGTATCATCCTCCTAGAATTTCTGTGGGATCGAAAGAGCTAATTTGTTCTGAGGACCACTTGACATACAGACGTTTTCAAAAACAGGCGCTCCTTTCTTCTCTTCCTTCTATTCACGTCATATGGTTTGGGCCAACTTCTAATATGGTAGAAAATGTTATCCTAGGTGTGCACTTCAAGGGAGCATCCTTGCCCTGGGGACCTAACTGGGGTTTGGATTGCAGACAGGCTTCTGTTGTGCTCAAGGTCCCATAACAGTTACCTTGGCTATGCTCCTTTTTTTCTGCATCTTTCCAGCAGGTAGAGACTAAAGCCTATTTTCGGGTTGAAGATTACATCCCAGCGAGTCTAATTGAGAGGCTGACTGCTTTCCGGGTGCAAGTTGAAGTCTCAGAGATGCACCGTCTCAGTCCTGTGCTCTGGGGAGAGGATGCAGAGCTGGAGTTCCTGAGGGTAAGGCCTCTGTGCTCTTGGGAGGGGGTGTTGGGGTTCAAGGGCATGCAGTCAGCCCTCCCCCTCTGGAGCTTTCTCTGGGGGATTGGATGTGCTTGGACCTACAAGGAGGTATGAGCAAGGGACTTGAGACTTTGGGAGGAAGGAAACTCTAACATCCTTCAGGGCAAGGTGAGGGTTCTGGGAGCAGGTGGCTCCTCCAATGGGTAGGATTTGGTGAACTGGGCGGGGATAGTAGGTTCTTTCTTTAACCATAGACTCCACAGTCACTTCTCACAGAGACACATGGAAGAACACTCAAGTACAAAACTGGCGTATGAGCCAAAAGCAAAGCCATCGGAAGACCTCAGGTTTTTGGCCTTCCAAACAACTGTCCTCAGCACAGCACAGCTAGTATGGTCCATGCATGTGGATATAGCTCTGGTCCACACCCTTTTCACCCCTCAAGCAAAAGCAGTGGCATTTCAGTCCCCGGTATCTGTGGCACACACAGGGCCTAGGATGGGTAGCCTTTGGACACTCCACAACTTCCCTGCTCTGGGCCAAGTGCTGTGTGGAATGGAGACAGGAAGAGCATGCACCCCGCCCCCAGGGAGTCCTACTTCTCCTGGGGAGGACAGACAGGTACCCAGAGACATGCATCCTGTGCTATCTGATGACAACAATAACAATGTGTCAGGATAGGAGGGAGGGGTCGTTTGCCCTTGCAGATGGAGCTGGGGGTGGGGGGAGTCATGTGGGAGCCCCCATCGCCTTCAGCCCGGCTTCCCCAGGACAGGCCACTTGGCTGGCCTTTAGAGCTGAGGAGGAGTTTCAAAAGAAGCTCTGAATTTATACATTTCTCTGTGCAAAAGTCTCTCAAGATGGATAGAAACTGTCTGTGGTGGGTTTTTTCTTTTTTTCTTTTCTTTTCTTTTTTTTTTTTTTGCCTTTAATAGAGATGGGCATGGGAAAGCAGACCTGCCCAGGCGAGATCTGGCCTTTTCTTTTTAGTGTGTCACTTAGCAGGCTGTCTGCACACCTTGCACATGTAAACTCACAAGCACTTTGTCTGAAAAGCCCTGATGGAAAGGTGCTCACTGCTTTCTCTAACCCAGCATTTGTGTACATTCCTCGTCAGGAGGATGCAGCTTTCCTGTGATGAGGTGCATGTGGGCACCTCAAAGCCATCAGCACACATCTGATGGAGGGTGGCCACAGGACCGCAGAACCAGCGGGGAAGCCAAGGGCTCGGGCCTCTGTAGCACCAAGAATGCCCACCTGCTCTCCCCTCCCGAGGCTCCAGCTTTGTTTGCCCAGCTCTGTGTCCCTCCCTCTCCTGGCTGAATGATGGAAAGTGATTGTGAAGGAAGCCACCGTCTCATAAGCAGAAATACAGGAAGACTTTGCCTTAGTCACTGATGGAAAACAGTATATAGATTTGGTTTCATTCGCAGGCCATCTTACCGGCGTTGAGAAATACTGGCTTTTAGTTCCCGGTGGTGGCTGGTTGGGCTCCCTAGCGCTGTGTGCCAGCCCTGGGGCCTGAGACACCCACATGAGAGGGCTTTGTGACCCCCATAGCACATTGCAAAACTTCTCTTTTGGGTGAGTGTTAGTTAAGCAAAATCTCGCCCTGCATAATGATAAAAGTAACAATTTGCTCCTGATTCTGCTGCCTGGAGACAGTGCAATTATATTTTGTTGCATTAATTGTTGTCTCTGTTCTGTGGGTTCACACGTGTACACACATACACGTTTAAAATTGGGCTTATATTATATATGCAGTTTTGTGTATTTTTATAATCCCATCACACCAACATTTTGAAACTTTATTTTAAATCAACACATGGTGTACCCTAAATTTTTCCTCAATACTCTGTTGTTTGGCACATAACTTGTTTTAAATAGGGGACTATTTTTTTTAAATGTTTTATTTATTTCTGAGAGAGAGAGCGTGAGCAGGGGAGGGTCAGAGAGAGAGGGAGACACAGAATCTGAAAGAGGCTCCAGGCTCTGAGCTAGCTGCCAGCACAGAGCCCGATGCGGGACTCGAACCCACTAACTGTGAGATCATGACCTGAGCCGAAGTGGGACGCCCAACCAACCAAGCCACTCAGGAGCCCCAATAGGAGACTATTTTAAACAATACTGAGATTAGCACTTTTTCTACATAAGTCTTTAAAAAATTTTTTTTAATGTTTTATTTATTATTGAGACAGAGAGAAACAGAGCATGAGCGGGGGAGGGGCAGGGAGGGAGGGACACACAGAATCTGAAGCAGGCTCTGGGCTCCGAGCTGACCAACAAACCGTGAGCTCACGACCTGAGCCGAAGCCAGATGCTCAACTGACTGAGCACCCCAGGCGCCCTGCACTTGTTCTGAAGAGCCAAAAATTTCGTCCTCCAATAAGAGCAACCTCGGGCTGCACGTAGCCCCAGTCCCAGTTCCAGGAAAAGCCTCAGACTGTTCAAGGCTAAAGCCATCCTCGGACCGCCCTCAGTTCAGCTAATCAAAAAGAAAAAAGAAACATTCCTATGGTCTGAGTCAAGGCTGGGAACTGCAGATACAAATTAGCCCATTTCTCACCACTTGCCTGAACCCCACGTGGGCCCTTTGAACTCACCTCATAATTGGTCATTTTCAAAGGATTCTCAAGAGTCATGATTGGGTCCCACCAAAAGTAATGAACACCTCACAGATACTGAATGGTCAAAGCTGTAATTGTAATTGGTGCTTATGTGATGATGCTACATGTACTGTAACACCCCCATCTCTTACTCCTTAAAAACCCTGTTCGCTATTGTTCTTGGCTTCACCTTGCTGCCATGACACCAGCAGGCTAGTGAGCCCCTGCTGGAGCTTGGCATAAAGACCCTTTTGTATTTGCATCGGTGCCGGCTCCTTGGAGGTCTCTGGGACTCACGATTCGGGCACAACAGTTCTACATAAGTCTTCAGCTACGTTGGTACTTAATTCGTTAGGGATGGAATCTCATGAGTGGAGTTCCCGGGTCTCAGGTTATAAACATTGTAAACAGTGTCGATAAATATTGCTAAGACACTGTATGTTTTAGTCCTTTCTATACTTTTCTTGTCCCCTTTCATAGGCTGTAAATGTCAGGGCCCTGATTTCTCAGAGCCCATCACAGAGTCCAGTTACCCAATAAACAGTCACTGGATTATTTAATTACAGCTCCTTGTGGCTCCTTTTTTCCATTATCAGATGGTGCCGCTTGGCCCCCAGTTCACCGATGACTAATTCTGCTAGTTCATCATCTCACACTAGAAGACTTGGCAGAAATCCAGTTAGGGTAAAGCTGAAAAACCTACTCTGTCTGGAAGATTCACAACTACATTAGCATATTAATCCCAGAACAACCTGTTCAAGGTTAACTCAATGTTTTCCATGCTTCTTCAGCCTTGGAACCACTTTTTTCCCACATAACTAGGGGTTATGATATGCTATTAAACTATTAAGGCTTTTTTTTTTTTAGCTGTTGAAATCAGACTGGCTGTAACCTGCTTTTACCCCACTTAGCATTATAACAATGCATTCCCCAGAGAATTACAAATACTTTGTAAATATCTTTTCTAAAGGCTGCCTAATGATCCCTTTTAAGGCAGTATTGCCTTTTGGGAATAGTTATCTCTGGCAGCTGGCCCCCCAGCCCAACCTTGCTTGTAGGCACCAAACTTGAGAAAGATTTGTCTTGATTCCACAGTGCATTTTCTTAGGACAGATTCCCAGTATTGGAATTACAGGGTCAAAGGATACATGAGTTGTTATGACTCTCTTGATGAACCAGGCTGTTCCAACAGTTTTCAGTATAGCAAAGGTGCTGCATACGCTGGGAGCCAGGAGAGCCTGGGTTCAGTCTAAACCTGGCCTGCTGCTGTAGGGAGCAGGAGAAAATAGTGAGATGCCTCTAAGGACATGGAGATACAGTGCCCTCTGAGAGTAATCGGCAACCACAACACGGAAGGACCAGGAGAGGAGCTACAAAGTTTTCCTGTTAGAGCGTGGAGACATAGAGAACATTATTTATTTTTTTACAGACTGAAAATATCCCCGAAGATCTTATGCATATTCACCCATGCATCAAAATTTCCTAACTTTACGGAAACTCTGTATTTTAGTTGTGAAGAATGAAGCCTCAGAAGCAAACAGACTCATACTTCCATTTGCGACTCCAAAGTCTCTGCTTTCTAAATTGGAAAGAGACACCTACACCTATCTGCTGTGATGGCTGTGAAGGTGAATGTGAAGATTATGTGACATCATCCAAGGAAAACGTTTAGGATGGTGCTTCACCATTGAAAAATTTTGTCCCTCCAAGTACTTCAGGATCACGTCCTTCTCTATAGAATTAAAAAAAAATAAAATGAAAAATAAAATCAAATACTGAACAATTTAAAAATGTAAGCAATTCTAGCAAAGGCATCTTTATTCTAGTGAAACCCATTTTAAGCCTTTACACTTTTTAAAAAATATCACATCAGGTTATTTAAAAGTATTTTACCTTACTGGCTTGGGATGGCCCTAGTATCCTAAGCACATGCCTGGTCTACCATTGGATATTTCAGCCCCAGTCTCAATAAATAGTGTTTTGGATGCTACTGCTGATGACAGTGATGGTGATGAGCAGTATCTCCAATGTTAAAACAAGCAGGTTCAGGATCTGAGAACTTAATCAAAATTATGTAAAGAGCTGTAGCCTCTGAGGGCAGCAGAACCTGTCTGCAGAAATTATTTCTTTTTTAATTATTTTATTATTTTCTTCTTGTTATTTTTTAGAGAGACCGTGTTTGCGAGCTGGGGAGGTGGAGGGGGGCGGATCTTAAGCAGGTTCCACGCTTCGTGTGGAACCCCATGCAGGGCTCAATCTCACAACCCTGGGATCATGACCTGAGCCAAAATCAAGAGACAAGCTCAACCTACTGAGCCACCCAGGAGCCCCCCGCCCATCTGCAGAGATTGTTAACAGAAGGAGAAAAGTACAGCAAGGATCCTGAGACAGGAACTCTCAGAAGTCATAATTTGTCCCTATTTTTATTGCCCTGAGTGGCAGTGGGAGAAATTGGCCAGGGCAAACTGCTCTCTTTTGCAGGCTAGAGACGGGACACCAGATCTCACCAATGAAACCCTTCTGAGAGCGTTTCCAATTCCTGGAGCAAGAGGTCCCTGCTGTGAGTCCCGGTGCATCAGCCTTTCTTTGAGGACTGGAGTCTTCTGGGTGAAGATGGTGGTAGACACCAGGATAGAGATGTGATTACCATTCAGACATAAAAACATTTGCATCAGATTTATACCCCGATCTCTTAAGAATTTGGTGGGCCTGATGCAGTCCCCATCTCTGATTGACCCTCAGGACTCTGACCAAATTCAGTCTCCTGACCTGGTAAGCTGAGGACAGACCTTGGGCACTGCAACATGGTAAGAAATGCCAGTGATTGCTCATTTTCTCTGCAGGATGTTCATGGCTTATCTTGCTTGAGCAGTGATACCAGCCATCTGGAAGTTGGCTTTCTGTGCCTGGGACTCAGTTTTTCTGTATAAGTCTATAAAATGAAGTGTTTGTACGAGATAATATTTCAATAGACCTTGATGGACACAATCATGAAAAGGAATCCTTTACCTTGAGGTGACCCAGAAGAGTCTGAATTTTAAAAACTTGCCCAGAATATTGCTACCCTGCTGTATCATTTCCGTAATAATGTGTTCCAAGTGCTGTTTTAGGTACTCCGTGAAAAGAGGATTTCTAGGGTTAATAAAATAGGAAATGCTACCGTAATAGAGGTGAGGAGAAATTTTGTAGTAAGGAGATCTGTTTAGCTCAGTGTTTCTTAAACTTATTTTGCAATTCTCTTCTTTTTAAAAATTTTTTCAGGGCATCTGTTAACATGTTTTTCCGGAGCTGGTGTGAAGCCCATTATTTTAGGTTAGTGTGACTGTCTCTTCTAAATGGGACTTTTCCTTGCTGCAGGTCACTCAGCAGCTCCCGGAATATGGTGTGCTGGTTCACCGAGTTCTCCCAGAGAAGACAAGACGAGAAGGGGACATGGCCTTGGGGATCTGTGCCAAGGGCGTCATAGTATATGAAGTGAAAAACAACAGCAGAATTGCAACTTTACGGTTTCAGTGGAGAGAAATTGGCAAGATTTCTACTTGTGTGAGTGTAGCTCCGTTGATAAAGGTTTCAATTTCCTTTGATCTGTTGCCCCTTTAAAGGAGCAGTGGGGGCTCATGTGGTCATCTCCTGACCAGATAAACTCTCAGCCTGTCTAACCAGTACTAACCAGTATTTCGATGTACTGTGGCATATTTGGAAGAAGCCTCCCGGGGGACTGGAGAGTCCTCAGGGGGTTATTTCCTCCCTACCATCTCTTGCCCAGTCCTTCCACACCCCCCTGGACGACCATCAGCCAAAAGGGCTACACTTTCCCTCTGTATGGAGATCTCTTAATTTGGGGAATCCTCTGATGTTGAGAGCAAGGTAGGTGGTGGGAGATGGGAGGGGAGAGTCTACAGCAGGTGGGGTGAAATCTGCAAGGTTTTGTACATTTCCTTTGTGTTTTAAATTTTCCCTGGGGCATCTGGCCTGTCTCCCGTAAACTATAGGTGTGCTACAAGGATCCTGGGGACTGTAAACCTTTGATACTTATTGAAAACTGAAAAGCACTTTTTTAGAAACAAAAAATTCCTGTTAAATGTATAATATTTGAAACTGTATTTCAATGCCATTTGCATGGATATTTATATACTTCCTGAATTTAGTTGTAACAAATTTGCCATCGAAAGCATTATGGGTGCCCCCACATGAGAGTATTCTGGTCCCTAATCTACCTGCCTATCCTGGGGATCCCCAAAGCCAGTATGCCATTACTTTAGTGATGATTTTGTTATCAAATGTGAAGTTCTTTGTCTTTTGGCCCATGAAAAAAATCAGTTTTTTCTTTCCATTTAATTTTCTTTTAGGGTTTTAAGAATTTTCCTACTGCTTAGATTGCTGTTTTAATTATCAGCAACCTGATGTTAGAGTTTCCTAAGTAGAACCTAATTGTTTCTTCCATCTTGGCTGTTGAAGATAATATATTGTTCAAATATCATTCTTGATAGTATTTTGTGATGAATTATTATTAGTCTTGGGGCACCTGGGTGGCTCAGTCGGTTAAACATCTATTTGACTCTTGATTTCAGCTCAGGTTGTGATCCCAGGGTGGTGGGATGGAGCCCCGCATTGGGCTCCGTGCTGAGTGTGGATCCTGCTTAAGATTCTCTCTCTCTGTCTCTCTCTTACTGTCTCCTCTTCTCCTCTTCCATTTGCATGTGCATGCGTGTGCAAGTGTTTTTTCTCTGTCTGAAAAAGATGTTTGTCTTTAGAAGAAAAAGCTTATATCTAAAAGTAATACCTGAACAGAATTTAATTGAGTTCATTAAAGTAGCTTATAATACCACTGTCGGGAAACGGACTTTTTCCCAAATATTTTTGACCATATCTAAAAGTAAACAAATTTATATTTGTAACTTTTTACAAATTATATTTGTAAATTTGTAAAACTTGTAAATTTTATACAATTTATATTTGTAAATTTTGTATGGTTTTAATGATTGGACTTACTTTAATTCAATAGAGAGATTATTTGAGGAATTTTATTTTATTTTATTTTTTAAATATAATTTATTGTCTAATTGGTTTCCATACACCACCCAGTGCTCATCTTATTTGAGGAATTTTAATTATTAAATTAATTCTATACTATTGCATTGCTTCCTATTTTCTTTAGGTCATGGTTAATTCAAAAATTTCAAGGTAATTTATTTTAAAACATTTGTAAAAAGGCAGATAACCTATAATATAATTTTAAAAAATAGATTTTTTGACATTATAAAGTTTAACAATCACTTTAAGTAAATGCTTTAAGAGTTAAGTTGTTTTAATGTTTACAGATATTTATTTTCCCACGGCCAGAGACAATTTCTTGATTAAAGCTGGAAAGTCTTCAGGTTCACCTGACAAACTTAGTAGCTTAAAAAAAAAAACCCAACAAAAAAAATCCTTGCCACTAATTAGGATTTATGTGCCCTGATGGTCATCCTCTTCCTTGGCATGAATGTCTTTTTTTGTGTGGAAAAGTCATCCCATGAAATAGTGTCACCAATTCCTTGCCACGAATCAGGCAATTCTTGCACAGAAAATGGGGGGCTCTATGACCAATACAAGAGTGAGCTCCAGAAGCTGATTTGAAATTTGCCTAATAGCAGAAGCCAAGATACTTCAAATAATGATGGACCATTCGTCTTTCTAGCCTGCGGGGAAGTAGCAATCGAGATAGAGAAAAATACCATTTCGAAGACTGTGATTTGTAGGTTTGTTGGCAGCCTGTCTGTGACAGAGACAACATCAGTTCAGAAGGTTATTCAATCAGGAAAGTCTTGTTTGGGGAATGATGAACCTACCCGAGTTAGTAACTGTTCTTGGTCGTTAGCAGTAGTTAAAACACCCGAAGAGAAATGCATAAAGGCAGGGAAGGATACAGGCTTTGTAGGGATCTCTTTAAGAAAAAGAATACAGTGGCTCAGTCAGTTGAGGCAACAACTCTTGATTTTGGCTCAGGTCATGGTCTCAGGGCTGTGAGATCGAACCCTGAGTTGGCTGAGAGTAGACTCTACTTGGGATTCTCTTCTCTCTCTCTCTCTCTAAAAAAGAAAAAATGTTCTCTGTATGCAGTGTGTCCTTTCTGGGCGCCTAGGTTGCTCAGTTGGTTAAGGATCTGATTCTTGGTTTTAGCTCAGGTCATATCTCACAGTTCGTGGGTTTGAGCCCCATGCTGGGCTCTGCACTCACAGCACAGAGCCTGCTTGGGATTCTCTCTCTCCCTCTCTTTCTGTCCTTCCCTCACTCATGCTCACGCTCGCGCTCTCTCTCTCTTTCTCAAAACAAACAAATAAATAAATAAACATTTAAAAAAAAAAGAAAAAGAATACGAAGTTCTGAGTACAAACTCTGAAATGAAAGTGAATATTTATTTAGAATGAGAAATCACCAAAGCTCGTGAGTTTAAAAAGTGAACAAACGCTGCAGAACTATGAAGTTAAAAAGTACTATTTTTATTAATTAACTCCCCGAAGAACTGTAATTTCTTTTTCTTTCAAGTGTGGGTGGCGTGCGCTCTGATTCTGTTTCCATGTCATGGCACTTCTGTCAATAGAGGCAATAGAAATATCATTTAGGCTTTCTTTTGGCATGGCTGACTGAAAGTTATGTTGATAAGCTGCATAAAACAGGCAGCTTTGCCTAGAGATACACTTGCTCTTTGCAGAGCTGCTGCAGGTCTCTGTGCTACCAGTACAGGGAATCTAGTCAATTCTATTTCATGTAATTCCCATCCATAAAACAGGAATATCATCTGATGTATTGAGAATGCAGTAAATACAGTTATAAAGTATATCCTGGATCGGGCGGAAATGCCACGTGATAGGGGTGTTTTTAAGAATTAAACTACAGTGTTTCATTTCTTACAACTGAAGATTTTTGTCAGACTGGCCTCTGGCTCTGAGCATTTCAAAGTTCACTTTCCACGCTTTACAAGGACATATGAAGACTTGGTCAGAGCCCCCCAGGACCCTCAGCTTCATTAGCTCCTATGGCAAATGTGCGTCTGTCTGGAAGAGCGTCATTGTCCCGCAGTGAGATAGCAATCTGGACACACAAACTAGTGGGTGAAAAAACAGCAACAACGATTAGACTACAGGGATGAAATATTCAAAATGATAACACAATGCATAGAAATGAATGTGGTGTTATGGAAGCACCAAGCGTGTTTGTACTGCAAGAACAGGGGTGTAATGCTTTTCTTGTTTGTACGGAAAACTCCAGAATTCGAGTTTTACATCACCTTGTTCACAGAGCAGCTCTCCCATGTGAAAGTTTGCATGGGGATGTGCATGACTCATTAACTGACGTTATCAACATGGAAAAAAAAATCCAGACTGCTACAGTCAAGATTGTTTTCAACTTTCTGATAGGAGATTCCACTCTTTGTGGTATTTAATGCCTTAAAGCATTAGTGTGTAAAAGGGGAGTTTTGCCAAGAGTTTGTGAGTTGAAAGAAAGATGTGTGTGTGTGTGTGTGTGTGTGTGTGTATGTATGATTCTCTCTTCTCAGTTTTGTTAAAGAATAGGTATTAGATTTTTTTAAAATGGCATTATGCATCTATAATTTTTTTAATACCTGAGTGTTCTTAATATAAAGCTGTCAAGACTATATGAGGTTATCAACGTGTGCTGACAAAGGGGATGGATTCCAAGCAAATATTCAAGTTTGGAAAAGCAAATATTCAACTGCTGGAGTTCAGGCATCATTATAATTGGAATATTAAGAAGAAACCATCGAGGCTATTAGGGCAGCATCCATGAATGTTTGAGAAAATAAGTTATTTAAAAAAACACTAGGTATGGATTCCAAGTCCACTCACATTTGTATAAGGAGGTTCAACGTTACATGTGTCAATATAGTGAAAGAATACTTAGAAAATGCTCAGATTATTTAAAATTAGGCTATGGGTAAAAGAGTTTCTCAGAGGAAAAGTAATGAATAATGAATTATCTGCCTTTTGTTACTATTTGACACTGTGGATGGGGCTTCTTGGAAATGGTAACTACCATGAATTAAAAGGGATTAGCATTAACCAGGATCAGGAGCTTCAGGAGCCCTTTCAAGCATAAGCCCTGCATTTATAACGTTATCTTTCTAGGAGCAAGTTCAAAGTCCTTACTGAAATATCTAGAATATCTAGACTAGAGATTTTATTTAGAAGTTATATTTAAATGCATATTTAGTATCATCTCTATTTACTTCGTAGTTGATTGTCTTTATTAACATTGTGCATTGAAAATAGTTACGGATCTTTTCCCCAAAGCTCTGTATAGATAATCCTCTCCAGTTTATCCCACTGAACTGACCAATATTATCACTTCATATAATAATGAAGGTATAAATGAGGGGAAGGATTTCTTGGTGATGTGGCTTCAATTCCTGCTGCATTCTCAGAACTCTTGGTGTATTTCCTCATCTGTAGAATGAGGATAATTGTATGACCTCCTTCATTTTGTAGCCTTGAGGATGAAGTGAATGAATATTCAGAAAGCACTTAGAACAGAGCCTTGCCCGTACAGTAAGAAATATGAGAATACACACAGAGATCTTATCTTTTCTCTAATCCCACTAGCTGAAATTTTGTCTGTGCCTTCTGGGAGTTTGTGCAATGAAAACTGTGGGTCTATTTAATGGCCTTTCAAAAGGCACATGGAGAATTATGTCCACTCCTTGCTGAGGGCCATGTGTGTGCCTGACTCATTTCATATTTTATTTTAGCATACTTCCTGGCAGATAGCGATTACCCGGTAAACAAACATTTGCTTTGTGAATGAAGAAAAAAAGGGGGGATTTTCTTTAATCTAAGAAAAATATAGGGCCATGGTCAGACAGAGAACATCTGTCATACACTTCTGGATACATTGAGATTAAACTGAGGGCTCCAGCATTTGATAACTCTCGGGACACTTGTGCTTCAATGGACAGTAAAAATGACCAATACATTAAAGTCCGTGTTTGCTTCTTTAAGCGAAAGAAGTTCACCATCACAAGCGGCGTCACTGGGAAAAAGCACACGTTTGTCACTGATTCAGCCAAGACCTGTAAATATTTACTGGGACTCTGCTCTGCCCAGCATGGGTTTAACGCCCAGATGAGCTTCCTGCCAGCTGCAGCTGGTGAGTAGACACTATATTCTCAACCTCCAGTTCGAAAAGTTTGTTATTTCATAAAATCACTTGTATAAATATATACAGTTGACCCAGAAACCTCCAAAAACATTTTAGTTCTCTCTAATAACTCCAGAAATACCATTAAAGTGAAATATGTTTTGTTTTTCTTTGACTGGTAAATGCTGAAATAGGTAACATGGTGGTGGGAGGGATAAATGGATACAATCTTTCTGAAGTGCAATTGGGAATATATATCAAAAGCCTTTAAAAGAAGTTCATGTCCACTAGCCCTGTAATTTTGCCTGTAGGCAGGTATTTATCCAAAGGTGATAACTATGGAAGTACATGGAAGTTTATGTTCACGGGTGTTCACTAGAACGTTATTATTCTTAACAGCTACCATTTGGAAGCAAGCTAAGTCCCCAGACACACAAGACTAGCGAAATAAACCACAACACATCTCTATAAGTTAGACATTAAAGTTAGTTTTTAGAGACTGATGACACGTGACCATGTAGATGATATGGTGCTAAATGAGGAAAAGAGAAACACGCAGCCGTACCTTGCTCTGACAGAGCTCTCTGCAACGATGGACTATCTACACCCTTCTTTATGGAGGGTCACTACCCATATGTAACTCCCAAGACTTGAAAGGTGGCAAATGGAATGAAAGAACTGAATTTTTTATTTTATGTCATTTTAACTAACTTACATTTAAACGTAAATGGCCACACGTGCCTACTGTATTGGATAGCACAGGCATAAACACCAGGATCACAATTTGGTTAGTGTTAACATGTTTTAAAACAAGAAAGGAGGGATATGGAAATGAACTGCACCAAAGTACCTTTGGGGGTGTGTTATTACCTTTGTGAGTCAGGCACATAAGCATGGTTGTTATCTCTTTTGTGTGTTTTTCAATATTCACCAAACTTTCAACAATGTACATGTGTTATTGCTTTAATTAGGAAGGAGACTCTTAGGGAAAATGAGGTCACACATCACAAAAGACTAGTCAATATTTACTGAAAGTTAGGAAGTGCTAGGGAACCATTTGTTATTGTTATTAGTACTTTCCCAGGCAGTATGCTGAGCCCTTCCATGAATTATCTCATTTGTGCTCCTAATAAATACACTGTTTCCTTAAACTGCAATTGCCTGGTGGCTGAATGAGGCAAGCACCAGCATTGCTGGGGGAAGCAAACTGAAGCTTGGAGAAGTTAAGTGACATGCCAGCTGGGTGCCAGGGCTGAGGTTTGAACCTGTGGCTCCCTGAGCCTGGTGCCTATGCACTTCACTCCACAGTATAGCCTTTTATAACCTGTCAGAACAGGGACTTTCGGACAAGAGAAGTTTGGCTTTGAGTGTTGAATTTATTACATCTGTTATTGATCTCTAAGCATTATTTATCCTTTAGTTAGAAAAGGGAACAATATAATATAGTGGCGTCAGCCTTCATATTCATACCGTGGTCTCTTCATGCACATCATCAGGGAGTTTGCTAGGGATCCAGGATCTCGGGCACCATACCGATCTACTGAATAAGTCTGCGCTTGACAAAGAACCCAGGTGATTTGGATGCACATCAACGTGAGAGAATCCAGACTTGGAATGTGGCCCTTGGAGCCCAGTAGACTCTGGGCAGTGCCATTTATTAGCTGTGTGACTTGGGCAACTCACTTGCCTTCTCTGAGCCTCAGTGTCCTCAGATGAGCACACTGGCATCTGGTGGGCCAGCATGTAGGATGTTTCCAGCTATGTGTTTCATGGTCATTGCTCCGTGTGAGAAGGAACAGCAGCTCCTGCTTGTGGGATTTTGTTCAGTGCTAGCCAGTTCGTGTGGGGACTGTGAATGCTGGATTCTGTGGTCCTGGGACATGGCCTCAATCAGGAAACAAAATCACTGAGCATTTCAATCTGGAACCAAACATAGACAATAAAGGGGCATATTGGCAGCAAACTCCAGTAAATTATAAATATTTCATTGAAATCACAGAGTGGCAGTTTTAGGGTATTTGCATGGAGCTGGAGATAATGAATGTAAATTAATTATATTTTACCTGCTATTGCTGAGATACAGTGTGAAACATCATCAATATTATTTTTATTGCCTCATACCAGTGAATGTGAAATATTTATAAAGATCCACAGGCTCCCTTGTGAAACTAGTCTTTCTAAGCTGATTTTGCTCATAATATGCTATTCTCTCAAACTGTAAATTCTATCCTAAGAGTTTTTCAGGAATCTAACATTTGTATTAAAAGGATTATTTCAGGGGTACCTGGGTGACTCAGTCAGTTAAGCGTCTGACTTCAACTCAGGTCATGATCTCATGGTTCATGAGTTCGAACCCCACGTTGGGTTCTGTGCTGACAGCTCAAAGCCTGGAGCCTGCCTCAGATTCTATGAATTACTTTCTCTCTGCCCCTCCCCTACTCATGCTCTGTCTCTTCTTCTCAAAATTAAATTAATTTTAAAAGAAGATTAGTTCAGGCAATTTTTCTTTGTTGGGCTGGGTTGAGGTGGTGCTATTCTCTTGTGTTTTTTCTTTTATTGAATTATTATTGACATAAATATGTAAGTTTAAAGTGTACAGTATGATGGTTTGATACACCTATGTATTGCAGCATGATTACCACCATAATGTACTTAAAACCTCCATTTCCTCCCATAATTACATTTTTTTGTGTGTGTGGTGGTAACATTTAAGAGCTCCTATCTTAACAACTTTCAAGGATATAATACAGTATTGTTAACTATAATCACCATGCTGTGTATTAGATCCCCAGAACTTACTCATCTTATAGCTGGGAGTGTGTACTCTTTGGCCAACATCTCCCCATCTCCCTTAATCTCCCTTACCACCCCTGCTCCAGGTCCTGGCAACTACCATTCTCCTCTCTGCTTCTATTGGTTCAGATTTTAGATTCTGCATATAAATGAGAATATACAATATGTGTTTTTCTCTGTCTGACTTATTTCACTTAGAATAATACCCTTAGAGTCCATCCATGTTGTCTCAAATAGCAGGAGTTTTTTCTTCCTTATGGCTGAAAAATATCACATATAATATATATGCATTATATAAATATATCATATCATATATAAAATATATGATATATAATATCTATACACACACATTTCTTCTGTTCTTCTGTTGATGGACACTTAGGTTGTTTCCATGTCTTGGCTATTGTAACTAATGCTTCGGTCAACACGAGGGTGCAGGTATCTCTTCAATGTAGTGTTTTGATTTCCTTCAGGTGTATGCCCAGAAGTGGGGATTGCTGGAGCATATGGTAGTTCTATTTTAACTTTTTGAGAAACCTCCACACTGTTTTCCATAGTGGTTGCGCCAGTTGGCATTCCCCGCAACGGTGCACAAAGGTTCCCTTTGTGCCACATCCTTACCAACATCTGTTGTCTCTTATCTTCTTGGTAGTGGCCATTCAGACAGGTGTGACATCTTACTGTGGTTTTGATTTGCATTTCTCTGATGAAGAGTGATGCTGAGCACCTTTTCATTTGCCTGTGGGCCATTTGTATGTCTTTTTTATTTGGAAAAATTAGACAATTTTTCTTTGCCTTGAAAAATATTTCTTCATATTAGAAATTCTTTCTGCAGACACCATTTTCAGTGATTGCATCCATTTGGGAACTGGCCACATCCATCTAATGGCCCCAGATGACTTTCAAACTCAGCATGTCTATAAATATCTCAGCCTCCCATACAACTCTCTCCACCTTTATCTTTGTCTTGTTCAATCGAGACCACCCACCCACTCTACAAGAAACTGGGTGGGGGAGGGGGTCTGATCCTGCACCTTCCAGTCACATCCCACCTGTCACCAAGTACTCTCAAATGGGCCCACTGCTGGCAGTCATGTCCCTCTAATTTGTCTTGCTCTTGGCCTTCAAAGTGACCTTTTAAAAGCACCAATATGATCGTGTCCTTTCATGCTGAAAATTTGCAGGGGCTTCCTGCTGTCTGCAGGGACAAGCCCAGACTTAGGGTGGCACGTGAGACTCTTTCCAGCCTGGCCTGCACCTTCACTTATGTCTGGCCCTGAGTCCTTCTCTCTCTCTCTCTCTCTTTTTTTTTTTAATATATTTTTATTCTAGGAGAGAAAGAGAGAGAGAGAGAGAGACAGCGTGAGCAGGGGAGGGTCAGAGAGAGAGGGAGACACAGACTCTGAAATAGGCTCCAGGCTCCGAGCTGGCAGTCAGCACAGAGCCCGACGCAGGGCTCGAACCCATGAACCGCGAGATCATGACCTAAGCGAAAGTCGGACGCTTACCCGACTAAGCCACCCAGGCGCCCCCCTGAGTCCTTCTATTTGATCTCCAGCTACCCTGCATGCTATCTTGCAGGCTGCTGAACACATGAAGTTATCTTGGGTCCATAATTAAGCCTAAGGTCACAGTCCCTTTGGGCCCTGGTTGATCAGAAGGCTGAGAATGTCTCAGATGAATCCCCTAGGCCGCTGTGTTTCTCTCTGTGTCCTGGACACCTCCATTTCTAGTACCCACTGTGGAGTCAGCCCACTTGAGCGTGGCTCCTGCCTTACCATTTATAAACCCTAGGACCTTGATCAAATTATTAGCTCTCTCTCAGCCTCAATTTCCTCCTCTATAAAATCGGTATACATTATAATACTACCCCAAAAGGGTTTTGTGGAGTTTAAATGAGATCATATAGAGAACATGCTTACCACTGTGCCTGGCGCATAATAAGCATTCAGCATAGGTGAGCTGTCGGTATTGATGTTACCACTGTTGTTGCTTCATGTCTGAATGGGTCCACGCTCTGGAGGAAGATCCTATATGACTTGTGTGAAAGCCGCAGGTCATATTCAAATTGCCTAGAGTCCCTTGTTCTTTCGCGCCCACTGTGTGTGAGTGATGGTACCGAATGTCTCAGATACAGAAAATTCTCAAGAAGTATTTTTAAAAGGCCACCTTTCTCAGTGGGCACAGCCCTGGCAGTGAACCAGACACCAGTGTAGAAAAGGGGGTTCTGCTTTGAGAAAGTCAATGCTCATGGACACCCTCGAAGTGGAAGCATATCACCATGCTTCAGACATGCACACGTGCAGACAGACAAAACTACAGCCACACAGGCACTGTGCGCCCGAGCATTTTTTCCTTCTCAGTTTTAGCAGGGAGCAGATGGCCAGAATACAGTCGTCATTTTCCTTTGCAAAACACAAACTTGGCTTTATAAAGCCTAGTTAATTTAACAATTCTATCAATCAAATCTCAGTTTCTTATGAATGACACGAATAGTGAAGTGGTAAAGAGTCACTTACATGCACGGTCTTGAGTCAGGGGCTTCATGAGTACCATTTATTACATCCTTCCACGTGAAAGAGAAAGGGAAGTTCAAGGCGGAGGGAGGCTCCATGCATCTGATATGTACTCATATTTCAGAATATTGGATCTTAAATATTACCAGGGAAACTAAACTGTGTAGAGGTTAAAGACTATAATCCAGAGCGAGAGCCTGATCTCAGAGCCCAGGTAATTTGAAGACCCACTTGTTTGTTACATTTGTGAGGACAGTTTTGTAAAGGCACTGAGCAGAATGGATGGCAGCAGTAAATGATACACTAGGCTCTGCTGGCATTTGTGACATTACCCTGAGTGTTAACAACCATCAGAACCTTGGCTGGGGGCCTGTCAGTTACAGGGGGAGGGAGGGTGTCTCCTTACCCTTGCTGTGTTTCCGAGGTTGCTTTCATTAGTGAGTGCTAGTTAGGAAGGCGGGGCATCCTCAGGGCTAACTGCGAGAACCCCACGAGTCAGCCCCAGGACAGACTGTGGAGAAAGAAAAGCAACAATAGAAACCGGGGTCTGTGATGTGTTGTCACCCTGAGAGGGAGTGATAGATCTGAGGGTCATGCTTCTGTGTATCTATGTTGTTTATCCTTTTCTCCCAAGTTCCAGACGATGATAAGTGTGTGCAAATGGCCAACATGAGTCTTGCACACCTGGCCCCGTCTCAGCCTCTCACCTGGATTCAGCGGCTGTCGGGCTCAGAAAACGCACTGTTCGCACCTGCACCCGGGCTGGGAGCCGCTGCAGGGGGCCTGCGGCGCATGTCTCTGGATAACTTCACCGTGGAAACCAGCAAGGAGACTGCGGCACGGGGAATCCGAGGCAGGTGGGTTTGACACGTCCATTCTCTGAGCCCATGCCACCTTGTACTTGGCCCTCCGGGGCAGTCTGTCCCTGAAGAAGTCATTTAAAGGATGTCAGATATCCGATGGAGGTCTATGCTCATTCAACTATCAACCAATTCCGTAGAGATTTCCTGAAGGCCGGCTATAGGCAAAGTCTACAGGGCGGACACCCTGCCCTCTGTGTTGTTCTGTGTTGTTCAGGTGGAGAAAGAACTAGATGAGGACAAAACAAACAATTTGTCATTAGCCTGTTTGGTCTTATCATGAGCCAAGTACTGTTCTCAGCACTTGCACACATCAACTGATTTTACTCTCCCCACCCTGCAAAGAGGTTTCTATCATTCTCCCAGTTATACAGGGGAAAAAGGGAGAGTTTGGGATTTGAGCCCATCTGGACCTAGAGTCCACACTCCTAACCTTTATACTGTGCTGCTCTCTCTGCTGATGCATTGCTTGTCATTTAATTTGTAAGCGAAAATAATGAGCTTCTAAACACAACTTTACATTATAACACATGGATCGGTAAATGTAGAAATAGCCTAGAAGTTGGATGACACTTACATTGCAGTTATATAAATAGCTTGGATTCACAGGCAGCACATGACCAATGGAGGAGTTGTTTTCTGGAATGAGTTATACATTTGCTTCAGCAAAAGGGTATGGATAATTCATCTGAACTGCATTGTATGTATGTATTATGTACCTATCCATCTAGAATTCTTTTACATATAAATGCATACACATATGTAATTCTTAGATTATTGCCCCAAATTCTGTTGATGCAACTGTGCATCACGGTGCACCACAAGCAAAATCAGCAATGATGGAGAACGATTATCGGTGTAACAACCTACTCTAAAGCACAGCGGCTTAAAACATCAACCATTTTGTTACTCTAGTTCACAGTTTTCCGGGATGGAAATTCAGGCAGGCTTCATTCAGCTAGGTGATTCTGCTTTGTATAGTATTGGGTCACTTGACAGTACTCAGCAGGACTGGTCTGGAGGCTCCAAGATGACTTTACTTACACACGTGGCCCCTCGGTAGGGATGGCTGGCACGGTGGGCTCTGTTGGGCACCTTTCCTCCCTGTGTGGTCTCAGGCCCTCTGCACCTGGTGCCACCAGCCAGGTAGTCAGTCTTCCCCATGGCGACTCAGGGCTCTAGTGGCTCAAGGTGAGGCTGCCAGTCTTCTTAAAGGCTGGAGTGGAGCTGACACAGTGTCACTTCTGAAATACTTGGTTTCTCAAAGCAGTCACGGGTTAGCACAGACTCAAGGGTAGCAGAAACAGATTCCATCTCTTGATGTAGGAGTGTCAAAGAATTTGTGGCCATTTTTACTCTGGCATTCAAATTAATAATACTTTATAGCAATTTAAAAGCAGGAAGAAGCTATGACTGACTCAAGGCCACCTTGAGAATGTGCTGATTGCAAAGGATCCTTCCTGAGGATGCTGGGCTTCCCGGGATCTGCCTGCAGGCTTGCACAGCAGGGCCCACAGCACCGCTGGGCAGCCAGCCTTCTCCACAGGAAACTAGGTTAGAGTCTTCAGCAAATGCTGCTGCTCCTTTAATTTTAGTTCACAAATGCCAAAAGTTCAGAACCCTTAGTAACTCACTTCGGAGGTGGCTAGTAACCCTTAGATGAAAAAGGAAATGGGGTCCTTGGCCATCTGGAAGGTCCCAGAAGCACAGCTTGAGGCAGTGACTGAATGCAGTGGTTTTGTGGAGATGGTGCTAGGAAGCAGGGGTGAGCAGGGTGAGACAGGAAGGGGAAATCAAACCAAGGAGGGCATTGCCATCTGCGTAGCTGGCATGGATGACCAGGGCTGTTTTCCAGTGAGAAGTGCACAGAAGGCCTCCCAGAATGGTCTGTATGAAGGACAGGCAGACGACACCTGTGTACCGGCTCCTCTCCCCTCTGCTTGAATGCTGTCCATGGAAGGCATGAACTCCCCCATACTTTTAGGAGGGGTGGAGATAGTGGGGGCAGAGGGCACTGAGATGCAAAAGAAGCTCTAGGGCAGCAGGAAGACCACACTGGATGTTGTCAGCACGAGCCAAGCCTGAGCTCCCGTGGAAGTGCTCACCGCTGCTGTGGCCAGAGCCTGACGTGGGCTGAGGGCGGACTTGCATCTAACTCTGTCGGTCTCCGTGGCATGAATGAGCTGTTCAGCATTTCCTTACTGTGGCTTGGGCAGAGATGACTCAGCCGAGGGCCCCTTCAGTCGGGGCTCTGGGGCCCCCTCAGTGTTTCGCTGCCTGCTCAGCCGTCTATTGCTATATGATCGTGAGCAAGTTCTTTAATAAGGGCCTCAGCCTCCTCATCTATCCGTGATGATAACACACCCACCCCCAGGATGGCTGTGGGAATTAAATCATGTTAGGAAACACTGAACATGGGTTGGGTCTGTGGCCAGTGTCCTAATGTGGGTCCCTTCTGCTAGGAACATGCTAGGAACACCCCCTAGAGGGATAGAGTGGGTTAAACATGTATGGTTATTTCCAAATGAGGGGGTTGGAGAAGGCTGCATGGGGCATGTGACACCAGGTCATGAGGGCTGGTAGATTTGGGCACAGGGAGAGGGAGGGGAGGGTACCATGAGTAAAGGTCCAAGTTCGTCTTGCTAGAAAAGTTGGTTGAGCACCTGCTGTGTGCCAGCCCCGGGCTAGTGGCTGAGGATTCAGCACGATGAGCAGGACAGACACAGTCCCCGCCGCGTGGCACTCACAGATGTGGTAAGCACAGGGGCCTGTGTGGGCAGGAACAGGCTGAGCTGTTGGCCTGGAGCCCGGAGCCTGCGGCTTGGTGGCTGGAGCAGGGACAGGAAGGGAGGGGCTGCATGCAGGCGTTCACACCCAATGAGACGGGACCCCATCCCCAGTGCTGTGCCGGAGTTGTTTGCTCAGCGCCCCTTAAAACAGAGTGGTCGGTAGGGGCGTCAACCCTGACACACACACCCCCCCCCACCTCACCCTCCTCCCCTGTGAAGCTGGCTCCCCATTTCACATCACCTTTCCTGTGAAAACTTTCCTGACTGTCCCTGCAAAGGGGTGGCTCCTTGATGTCATTGGCTCCATTTAGAGCAGCCGCCCGTGCCCTTCTACCCTGACAACCACATGTGTCTGCCTGTCTGCTTGTTAAACAGTGAGTGAGCTTCCAGAGAGCAATAGCACGTCTGCTTTTTCCTCCGATCTGTGGCCAGGGTGTGGAGGCTTTCTGTAAATGGTCTTTTTTTGGGGGGTGGAGGGGGGTTTGCAGGAAAATTCACATGACATAAAATTCACCATCTGAACCATTAAAAAAATTTTTTTAATATGTATTTTATTTTTGAGAGAGACAGAGCATGTGCAAGGAAGGGGCAGAGAGAAAGAGGGAGACACAGAATCTGAAGCAGGCTCCAGGCTCTGAGCTGTCAGCACAGAGCCTGATGTGGAGTTCGAACCCACGAACTATGAGATCATGACCTGAGCCCTAGTCGGACACTTAACTGACTGAGCCACCCAGGTGCCCCCCTATCTAAATCATTTTTAAGTGTACAGTTCAGTAGCATTAGGTACACTCCCATTATTATGCAAACAATCTCCAGAACCCTTTTCATCCTGCAAACCTGAAGCTCTGTCCATGAATCATGACCCCCGCCCTCCTCCCTGAGCTTCGGAGAGCCACCATTCTACTTTTGGTCCCTATGCATGTGACCACTCCAACTGCCTGGTAGGGATGAAATCACGCGGGGTTTGTCCTTGTGGGACCGGCAGTAAGTGCCAGCCCTTATCCTTTGTAAGCAGTAGTGGCACCTGTGGCCAGATCAGGCAGGCCGTAGAAACCTGGGCATGGAAGTCCTTCCCTTCCTCCAAAGGTTCTGCCAAATGCCACCTTGTCCTCAGAGCCTCTCTCGGCCCCTCCTGGGAGTGTCCTTCCTCTGAATCCAGGAGCGCTGTACAGGGCCTCTCCCTGAGCACTCTGGTGGGCTCTGTGTGACGTGAAAGGCACCTGCTCCTCATTCTGTCGTGGGCTGGAGACTCTGGAAGGCGGAGCCCCCCTCCCATCCACCTTTGCCCTCAGTGTCTTGCCAGCCCAGGGCCTGACATGTGGTGGGTGCTCCGTCCACGAGGGTTGAACATGCTGAAATGCACAGTAGAAACAGAAGCCAAGTCAGAACGAGGCCTCATTCCTAATCTCTGCAGAATGGCTCCGGGCTTGCCCCTCGCCCCTGCTCTCACCTCCTCTTCCCCTTCACTTTCACTTCGCCACTGTCCTTCCCTTTCTAGCTCTGGCCGTCTGAACAGAGATCACTGATCCAAGACAACAGCAAGAGGCTCCGTGGGAAGCTGCCTGCGCCCGCATCCCTGCCTTAGTCTGGCTGCCTAAAGCAGGGGGGCGGCTGTGAGCTCACTGAGGTGGGGGACGAAGGGCCAAATCTGTTCAGATGGTTGGCCTTCCTTTCTTCCGATGAAGCCCACACTGGCTTCCTCCAGGGCTCTGAGCACCCATGGCTGCACTTCTACTCTTCCCTCTTCCCCTCCACTTTGCTCATCCCTCAGTGGAGCTTATCTTGTGCACAGCTGACCCTGGAGGCATGGCAGTGTCACCCCCGAATTCATTATTCTCCTAGGGCATAGACTATTTTCTGTTCACTAGAACAGAAAGGCCAGTTGAATGCCTGCATGAAAGGTTCTTGTTCTCAGCTTGGTATGATGGGGGTAGGGGGTAGCCAGCCCAAAGCCTGCAAGGGCCAGCAGGTGAGTTACTGTGTGGAGCCCTCGGGGGCCCATCACAGTGGGGGAGCCAGAGCAGGCACCAGCCAGACTGAACACAAAAGCAAACAACAAAAAAATCAGGACCCACTAAAAGCATTGGGGCTTCATACTCATTACCCTGTTTTGGAGCCAAACATGTATTATTACTTTGCAAGTGTGGAAGTAAATACACTATTCCTATTTTATGGTTAAGGAAATGGAGGTTTGGAAGGGCTGCATGTCCAACACAAAGGAGAGATAATAGAAGGCCAGGTGAGTCTAGGGTCCCCTCTGGGACAGAAAGACCCCAAAGCTATTCTTTCTAGTACTCTCCTGGCAGCCACGTCAGCCTGTGATGGGGTGTCTGTGGGTCTGCTGGCTGGTCAGGCATGTGGCTGCCTTCCCCCCAGGCCACCAACCATACTCAGAAGTGCCAGGAAATTGCCTCTTAGAGTCCTCTTTTCTCATCTTATGGCCTTTCCCTGCAGCCCCTGTACTGGTCGGGAGCAGCTGGAGACCATCTGTTTGATCCAGAAGTCGACGACTTATGACCCTCTCTCCGGGCCGCCTGTTCCGAGCGTGCACAGGGGTAAGGGCCGGGGCATGGGCCATGTTTGGGAAAAAAGAAACCCTACATGTGACGCTTGCTCTTAAGGCTTTTGCCACTACTTCATGTTGCCTTCCCAGTCATAGTCACAGTCTTTGTGATTTTTTAAATTAATGTCAAAGCTACTTATGGTCAGGAAGAGAGAGCTCTTGCAGTCCTGCTTTGGCTTGGACCAGGGGCATGTGGGTCTGACATGTGTCAGCCCTGGTGAAGGTTCTCAGTGTTCTGGTCCCGCGCAAAGAAGATGTGCTGTGAAGTGGTGTGGCCAGAAATACACTGTCCATTTCAGCTACAACTCTTCACCGACTCCGAATATCACCAGACAACATATACAGGGTCTGGGAAGACCCTAGGGAAAGTAAAGACAAAATGATTCCAGAACTAAAGAAAATATTTAGGCTAGACAAGCCTTAAGCCCTGGGGAATACTGCTGAGCAGCTTTTTGTTTGTTTTGTTTTTTTGAGAGAAAGAGAGAGAATCTTTTTTAAAATTAAAATATAGTTTACTGTTGAGTTGGTTTCCATACAACACCCAGTGCTCATCCCAACAAGTGCCCTCCTCCCTGCCCATCACCCATCCTAGCACTGCTATTGCTGGGTCACAGGGGAGTTCTACTGTTAATTTTTTGAGGAACCTCCACGCTGTTTTCCAGACTGGCTGCACCAGTTTACATTCCCACCAACAGTGTAAGAGGATGCCTAATGAGACAGAGAATCTTCTTTTTTTTTTTAATTTTTTTTAATGTTTTATTTATTTCTAGGAGAGAGAGAGCGTGAGCAGGGGAGGGTCAGAGAGAGAGGGAGTCACAGACTGAAACAGGCTCCAGGCTCTGAGCTGGCAGTCAGCACAGAGCCCGACGCGGGGCTCGAACCCACGAACCGTGAGATCATGACCTAAGCGAAAGTCGGACGCTTAACCGGCTAAGCCACCCAGGCACCCCGAGACAGAGAATCTTAAGCAGGCTTCACACCAAGCATAGAGCCCAATGTGGGGTCGATCCCATAACCCTGTGATCATGACCTGAGCGGAAATCAAGAGCTGTCCTCAATTACTACAGACCAAAGAGGGGAAGGCTTTGCTGTCCCATCTCCGTGCTCTAACTTTAGTTTGATTTTCACTGCCTGCAAGCACATCTTTGCTGAAATTCTCCCTTGTACAGACCAATGCAGAACAAAACTAGCTATAGGAAGTTGTATAGAAAACAAGTACCACGCCCTCTGCCCCCATCTTGTCTCTGGTCTTGATAAGCCAGCACTGACCTAGTGAGGCTTTATGAAGCAAGTGTGCTGACCCAGTGAGGGTAATCAGAAGTGTGTGTTCTGTGATCCATTCCCAGTATTGTGTGTGTGTGTACACATATGTGTGTAAAACACAGCTTATCCCTTCTGTATTAGGTCTCAGATAATTTGAAGGGAAAGAATAATCTGGATTTTGTTTCCACCTCTAGAGCCACAGAGTAACAGGAGAAAGAACTTTATACCTGAGCCGGAACGAGAAATTGTGCATGTGACACTGCGCCGGGAGCCACGTCGTGGTTTTGGTGAGAGGGGAGACCAGTCTCTCCCTCTGGGCAGAAGGGAGGGGTGTGCAATTTTCCCTTTTGACTTTTTGACTCCCCTCTCTTGCCTCTCTCTCAACTTGCCTGTTTCAACGATTGTTTCTTTTTCTTCCCTTTAAGTGTCCCTAACAAACAAAGGAACTTCTGGGTCAAAGCTTTCCTGATAAGATTTTGGGGCTCATATCTGAGACTCTAAGTACAAGATAGAAAGAGACTTTTTATCCTAATACTATGTAACAGCCTTTCTGTAGTATATCTAGATTCTTAGGGATGGGCAGGAATAGTCCATCTCTTTCATGTCTTTATTGTTTATTACATTAATTTTAAAAAATGTTTTATTTATTTCTGAGAGAGAGAGAGAGAGACAGTGTGAGCAGGGGAGGGTCAGAGAGAGAAGGAGATACAGAATCTGAAACAGGCTCCAGGCTCTGAGCTGGCTGTCAGCACAGAGCCCGACGCGGGGCTCGAACCCACAAACCGTGAGATCATGACCTGAGCCGAAGTCGGATGCTTAACCGACTGAGCCACCCAGGCGCCCCTATTGTTTATTACATTTAAAGGTCCTTAAAATCACACAAGAAACAAGACACTGAGACAAGATACTTTATTAAAAATGATCTCTTTCTGGATAAGATGATGCCATTTGAGGCAATGTGGATTGACCTAGAGGGAAATTATGCTACGTGAAATAAGTCAGACAGAGAAAGATGAATACTGTACGATTTCACTTAATATGTGGAATCTAAAAAACATGAATAAATTAATAAAAAGCAGAATCAGACCCTCTGATGGTTCCAGAGGGGAGGGAGGGGGAGAGTTTGGCAAAATGAAGGAAGAGATACAGGCTTCCAGTTTGGGAATGAGTAAGTCAGGGGAATGAGAGGCATAGCATAAGGAATATAGTCGATGACACTGAAATAGTGTTTGGGGACAGATCATAGCTACACTTGTGGTGAGCATAGCATAATGTATAAACTTGTTGAATCACTATGTTGTACACCTGAAACTAAAAGAACATTGTGTATCAAGTATACCCAGATAAAAAAAAACCTCTTTCCTATTTCTGATTATCAGGGGCAAAATGCAGTGCCCATTGTTGGGTTGTGTTCTTAGCTTTAGCTGTGCTTACTAACGGCGGAAGTCGACTTTTATCCATGTGTCTGGCAGAGTTGAAAGAGCTGTTCGAGAATCAGACGACTTAGGTACAAATATCAGCAGTGCCACTTGGTAGCTGTGTGATCTCAAGCAAATAATCTAACCTCTCTGGGCAGCATCATTACGTATCATCTTATTAAATACCATTGGATTCTAGGTTTTGTCATTAACGAGGGAGAAGATGTTGGCAGAGTTGCCCCTGGCATCTTCATATCTTCTATTATACCTGGAGGACCAGCTGAAAAAGCTAAAAAGATCAAACCGGGTAAGTCTTTTTAAATTGCCAGACACTGCCTTAAGGAATGGCTCTTTCTCTCCTTGACAGTATTATTAAGATGCTTTATTTTTCCAGGAGGGCAGATTCTAGCCTTGAATCACATCAGTCTGGAGGGCTTCACGTTCGACATGGCTGTTAGAATGATTCAGAACTCTCCTGACAACATAGAATTAACCATTGCTCAATCAAAAGGTATGTCTTCACCCGAGTTCAGAAGCTGGAGGCTTCTATTTGCAGGAGTTCGTTATCACCACGAGGTACTAGATCTTTAAGATTACTTAGGTTTGGTGGTGCTTTTCTCATGCTGCTGGCTTGCAAAGAGGCAGTGTCGTGGCACAAATCACGAAGTTCTGCAGTTTCACGGGCAGAATGGGCTCTATCATTGCTTGTTCTGACCGACGGGAGTGGCCTCCTCCGTCCAATTCTTTATCAGATGTGGCCGATACAGCCATTGTGTGCTTTTCTGCTCGCTCTTGTGTGACAGGGAGGACATTCTTTTTGTCAGTCAAGTCCTTATGGAAAGTGGCTCCTCCAGGGTTTCTACATAGCTGGGACTTGCATGTGGCACTCCGCCAGGGAGGGGACTGGAGAGCTGTTCTCGAGGGTGCACTTGTATAGCAGGCACGCTGGTCTTACCTGGTTAAGACTTGGCATGTTGGAGATCAACCTAAGGGTAAAGTTCTTTAAAGTGATGCTTTTATTTATCCTTGAGGTAAGTATGAGAGAACAACAATTGCCCACATCAGAGAATAATATTATGCATTTTTTGGGACAGGTTTGGGGAGAGGCGTGGATGTAACCGGGGATGTTAACATTCCCCTCCCTCCCGGTTACCTGGAATCATTACTGCATTTTGGTTGAATGGTCCTGTAACCGAACTGCAGACTGCCTGTGAATCCGAGCTCCTGGATTTCTTTCTCACGCTCCCAGTTCTCTGGACAATTTCCCCTTGTGTACAGAGATGCTTCACATCACACCAGACAACATTTTCTGGATCCTAAATGTGGGAACCCCATTGCCTTGCCCCGTGAAGGCATTCACATTCTCTCAGTCTTGTTACACATTCACGCTGGGGCCAGGTAGCTTTCCCAAGTGTTGCAGCTGCCCCTGGACAGAAGCCACAGGGCATGGGAGGGGGCAGCACAGCCGGAGCCTCAGCCACGTGCCTTTCACCCTGTGTTTGGAGCTGACCCCGAGGCTCGGCCCCAGCACCCGTGAGCCACCAGCCCCAGTTCATAGTCTCTGCTGGATTTCCCACTGCTATCCCTGTTGTGCGCATCCCATTTTACCCTTCCTTGCATTCCCCTCCACATTTTGCACCGGACTAGGACAGAAAGGAGGAATCGAAGCATCCTTTTCTGGGCAGGAAACAAAGCAGCTGAGCCGATGGGTTCGGTGTCATTCAAGGCTGGCTGCCGGGAGGGGAGGTGTCAGCAGCCGGTACCCAAAGTCTGCAAGGCTCAAACCACAGTTTCACACTAGAATTTTGGACAACTGCTTTCCTCTAATGCCTGTGAGTTATATGTCTTTCCACTTTAGGGCCCCAGTTACCTGTTGGGAAGTTTGCTTCCCACTGCTGCAGAGGCTTGACTGCTGTGCCTTTTATAAGTGTTCTTTTCTTTTCTTTCTTTCTTTCTTTCTTTCTTTTTTTAAAAAATGAGATAGAGAGAGACAGAGAGAGAAAGAGAGAGAGAACACACATGAGCTGGGGGTGAGTGCAGAGAAAGGGAGAGAGAATCTCAGGCAGGTGCCCTGCTGTTAGCACGGAGCCCGACATGGGGCTCCATCCTACCTGGAGATTATGGCCTGAGCCAAAATCAAGAGTTGGATGCTCAACTGACTGAACCACCCAGGTGCCCCTGACTGCTGTGCATTTCTATGTGGTTAGGCTGCTGTTGGGGCAGGCACTCTGGACTGGAGGTCAAGGACAAGACAGATAATAGTCCCATCATGGGCAGCCATCACTATCTACAACAGATTGAGTTTTAATTCCCACAGAAGGTCTCTTGGTTTCTGTTTCCTTTAGGCAGGCTCACGTTGTACAGCTTGACTTTTTAATTCAATCATAAATCCTGTCCTCATCTCGCATGGAGGGTGTGGAAGAAAATGAACAGATGCTTACAACATTGCCAGAAGGACAATGACAGTAGAATCTGTGAATGAAATGGCTAGGAGTAAGGCATTATAGAACAATGGCCCCACCATTCTTCACTGAATGCCTTTACACTTGAATAACTTCCAATCTAATTCATTAAATTACAGTTGATTCAGTGTGTGAGTTTGGGTACTTCCCTGAGTGCTAATGAGTCTGTATCAAAAGTGAGCCTACTTGTGTGTTTATATATCCAAATCTAAAAAATATCAGACCAATATGCCTTCATCCGACATGTATTTGTTAAGCAGCTAATATTAACATATTAATAGTAAATACATTGGGGTGCCTGGGTGGCTCAGTTGGTTAAACGTCAGACTCTTGATTTGGACTCAGATCATGACCTCACAATCATGGGATCGAGCCCTGTGTCAGGCTCCATGCTGACAGTGTGGAGCCTGCTTGGGATTCTTTCTCTCCTCTCTCTGCCCCCACCCCCCACCCCCCGCATGCACTTGCTCTTTCTCTCTAAATAAATCAATAAATATTTAAAAAATAGTAAATACATTTATTGAAGCTCTCCATGTACTCAACTAATTTCTCTTCATCTCTCTCTGTCCATATGTAAGATCTCTCTGCATACATAATTTCTAACCCCTACCAACTCCAAAAGGTAGTTGATACTATCTGTATCAACTAAGGAAATTGAGCTCCAGAAATGTTAAGTAACTTGCCCAAGGCTTTACCTATTGATTCTTGACCTCATGTTCTTTCCCTTGTTTTGTGCCAGGTCAAGGGTCAGACAAGGGGTAAATAGGAATCAGTGGCCCAGCCTTTGCCCCCAGGGAGTCCACCATCTTGTTATTACCAAATCCTCTCCAAAAGACCTAACATGTTGGTCTTTGGATCACATGTTGATTACAGTCACGCTCAGTAGGATCTCCAGAAGAGGCTGAGTTTAGGAGTACCACCATGTGCTGGCTGTGGGATCCAGGGAAGCTACTTAATCCTTTTGACTTTGCTTTCTCATATTTGAACTGGGATAACACCTTCCTGGTGGATATGTAGAAAAAATGGAAAGATATATATATATATACGTGTGTGTGTGTGTGTGTGTGTGTGTGTGTGTGTGTGATTATATAATGCCCATCACATGGCAATAAATTAATAAGGCAGAGCTGGCAACTCTCCAGTTGCTCCTATGTTTTCATAGTTGGGTCACAAACCTCTACGTAGGTTTTTAAATCACACTCAGAATCTTCCCTTCCTCTATTCGAAATGCATCATCCTTTCCGGGGTGCTAAACTCACATCATTCTCAGCAGCTATAAAAGGTCTCTTTGTCATTGGAAGAAAATGCTATACCCCACATAGCGTGATGCCACTGAGATGCCAGTCTTTCCAAGCTGTTGACATCTTGGCTTGCTTTTATAGGTATTTGTGGAAATACCCCAAGTGAGGAGAAGAATAGTCCAGCCAATTCTGGGGTCTTCTCTACAGACAGCCCGAGCAACGGGCACCAAGAAAGTTTCGCATCACATGCACAGAAACGGGAGAAGAATACTGAAGAGCTAGAAATGGCTCAGACTCAGAGCTTACTGCCATTAATGGTAATCATTCCCTTGGTTCACTCTCTAGAATTTGAAGGAAAGAGAACAGTATGGGACCCCAATAGTCCTGACTCCAAATTCGCACTTCCCTCTCTTTTTGTCAGCTAGATGGGAATTTACTTAATCCTTCTGACCCTCAGCTTTCTCACCTGCAAAATGGAAATAAATGCCTGCCCTGCATGATTATTGAGAAGAACATAAAGGGAAAAAGGCAAAGCCATGCCAGCCAGGGACATGCATAGACTGTCGGGCTCAGTGTCTGAATATTCAGTGTCCTCAGTCACTGGTTATAACTGTTACTGGTAATAACATTGGCTGCTACCAAGGGCCATGTATGAGCAATCAGGCATCCATATATTCTTGGCCTCTAGTTTGCCATTGAGATCCAGTGGCTTTGCTCTTCACAAAGCCAGAAAGGAAGAAGACAAGCCAGCTTTGGGATACAGAGGGCTGTGTACTTCAGTACCCGGGCCACTGCCTTAGCTGTGTCTCTTTGGACACTTGGTAGAAAAGTCTCTTTTTTTTTTTTTTAATTTTTTTAATGTTTTTTATTTATTTCTAGGAGAGAGAGAGAGAGAGAGAGAGAGAGACAGCGTGAGCAGGGGAGGGTCAGAGAGAGAGGGAGTCACAGACTCTGAAAGAGGCTCCAGGTTCTGAGCTGGCAGTCAGCACAGAGCCCGACGCGGGGCTCGAACCCACGAACTGCGAGATCATGACCTGAGAGAAAGTCGGACGCTTAACCGACTAAGCCACCCGGGCGCCCCTAGAAAGGTCTCCTTTTGCCCTCCAGAACTTTCTCCCTTCTGCTCAGGGCCCCATGAAGCTGATGTTCATAGACTGTGTCAGCCTTCTTTCTACTAGTTGGCTCAGCCCAGGAGAAGCCCTGTGTCTAGAAAAATTTCTGCTTTTCTTTACTCTCACCCTGGGACCCCACTCACAACACTTAATGACACTGTTGTGTGGGTTTCTCACCAGAAGCAATTCTGGCAGTAACTGAGTGGAGTTAGCACTGGATCCCACAGGTTTTGGGGGGGCTGGACTCAGTCCACAAGACTGCCTCCATCTGAGAAGCCAATCAAAAGTAACAGATCCCCAGGTTACCCACACTTCTGTCCAAAGTTGGCTACAAATTGGAGGTTCCCATGTCTCCCCTTGGGTTTGTAACTTCCTAGAGCAGTTCATGGAACCCAGGAAAACAGTTTTACATTACAGAGGATGCTCTAAAGGGTACAGTGAACAGCCAGTGAAGAGGTGTGGAGGGCAAGGCCTAGAAGGGCCCTGAAAACAGCACCTTCTGTCCTCGTGGGGTTGAGGTATGCCATCCTTCCAGCACATACATGTGTTCACCGACCCAGAAGCTCTGTGAACCCCATGCTTTTGGTATTTTTATGGAGACTTTATCACACAGGCATCATGGGTCATCCACTCAATCTCTCCTCTCACCTCCCCGGTGGATGGGTGTTGGGTAAGGGGGGAAGTTCCAAGCTTCTAATCATGGCTTGGTCTTTCTGGTAACTAGCCCCCATCCTGAAAGCTATCCAGAAACCCACCAAGAACTGCCTCTTTAGAACAAAAGACTATTACTCAAGACATTCCAAAGGATTTGAGAGCTCTGTGTCAGGAACTGGGGTCAAAGATCAAAAATTAGTATAAAAGATACTCCCAGTCTCTATAAGGGCATAGGGAGCTCTGTGCCAGGAAGAGAGGAGAGACCCATATATGTATATGCTATTATTTCATGCCCTGGTAGGAGCCAGTAGTTGGGGGTGGGGAAGGGCAATACTGTCACTCTTGCCTGTGCTCACGTTGACTATGTCCCTCTTCTGAAAGCACAGCTCCTATCGGGCGCTCTTCACCACAGAACTACTCTGTAAGTAGATTCCATCCATCATTCTCTCCTCTTGCTCCTCAGGCTCAGAGAAGGCAGGAGCACCTACTGTTTCTAGCCCCAGAGTCCTTAGCCCTCCTTGCTGGTTTCTTTAAATTCCGATACCTCTGAAAGCAGGCCTTGCGTGGGCTCTCCTCCACGGCCTAGGTGGAGCATGTACACCTTTGCTTTCCTGCTGGGCCTCTGGTTCAAACAGGCAGGTTACCCCACCTGTCTCCATCTCAGTTTTGTCCTTTATGAGTAGAGGTAATGTCTGTCCACAGAGCTGTGGGGACCGGAGTGCCCGGGATCGGCCTCGCAGTAGGGCTCCAACAATGTTCGTTCCTTCCTAATTGGTCATGGTGCTCAGCTGGGCAGCGCACCCCATGAAGCGCAGGGAGAAGGGATCAGTAAGGAAATAATCCTAATGGCGGACATTTATAGAGTGATTAACCATGTGTCAGGTAGGATCCCGAGCACCTCTATGTTTTATATCACATAAGCCTTGTTACAAGCTTATGAGATAATTATTATCATCAACCCTCTTGATAGGTGTGGCACCTGAGGCAGGAGAGGAAAGGACTGTGCCCCAGGTCTCTCAGGGAGTAAGTGGTAGAGCTGGATTTGAATCTGAGAAATGGGACTGCAGAGCAGAAGCCTTCACCCCAGGGCTGTACCTCAGACGACCCCCCTTGGCAGGAAGCAGGGCCAAGAGGGATTTGGGTTGGAGCCTCTGAGGCTGCAAACCTGTGAGCTGGTTTTTGGTAAGCAGTGGAAGGGAGCGATGGCCTTCCAAGGCCACAGCGGACCGTGGCTTAGGCTATAGACCCTGTATAAGACAGGCTCTTCTGGGCCACAAGGCCAGTTTTGTAGGCGGGTAACTTTCAGTGGCGTTTACACTCTTCCTTTGGCCTTCACCCTTGGTGGCTGCTTTACTCTTTGGACTTTCAAGTTCGGACAAAACATTCTTGCCAGCCTCTGTAGTGTGTCTTGTCTCTGGAACAATTGGAGTTTTGTCTGTTTTATGCCAATCTCTTTGGGACTTCCTCTAAAGGATTGATAATTTTCTAGCTTACTTCGGCCTGTTTATTTTCCTACGGTGTTACCGGTATTTTCCAATATGGTGAACCAAAAGCAGCCAAGCCAAGGTGACAGACACAACAGAAGTCTGGGAGTATCTGTGGCTCCATCTCCACCCATGGGCACAATTTTTTTTTTTTTTATTTTAATGTTTTATTTATTTCTGAGAGAGAGAGAGAGAGAGAGAGAGAGAGGCACAGCATGAGCAGGGGAGGGTCAGAGAAAGAGGGAGACACAGAACCTGAGACAGGCTTTAGGCTCTGAGCAAGCTGCCAGCACAGAACCCGACACGGGGCTCGAACCCACAAACCGTGGGATCATGACCTGAGCCGACGTCTGATGCTTAACCGACTGAGCCACTCAGGCGCCCCCATGGGCACAATTCTAAAAGTTTCTCCTCTGCTAAACAGTTGTTCAGTAGGGGCAGGTCTGCTGTCCCCTCCACTTGTACAATGGCTGAAACATAATGGATGCTCAATTAGTGTTGTCACATGACTGGATGAATGAACAAACATTCGGTTTGTTCATGCGGTTATTGTCATAGTACGGAGTTGAATTCCTGGCACGTGGTAGATAATTCTTATCTTCTGACCTTTCCTCAGACATTCTACCAATGTGAAGTAGAGCCCCAGTGCAGCCGCTCTTGCTAGGGGTGGTTGGAGTTCTTCCTGAGGTTTTCTTGTGTTCAAGTAGCTGTCGTATATTGGGTATCCAACATCACTTAGCTGGTGTTATGTGTGAAGCTACCAGGAAGTGCCTAGCTGGCTTAGGTTCTCAAAATGATATTTGCCTCTTGAGTGGAAACAGGAGGGAACCTTCATTTATTGAGCCCTGCCCTGTGCTGGGTATGATCCAGAAGCAGAGTGAGAAGGGTATCTCTCATTCCAGTTCTGTGAATTGGGAAACTGAGGCTGGAAAGACCAAGGGACTGGTCCAAGGTCATAGAGGGAAGATCTGATAAAGCTGGAAACGATCCCTGTTAAACCTGAAATTCATGCTCTTTTTGGTGTGCGATCCTGGTGAGAGCTAAGAAGTGCTATCTGCTCACGTAGGGCAAGTGCCTTCATGCCTTCTTCATTTTTATATGTTTTGTAGGGGCAGGCTGCTGGTTCTTCTTGTCCTCCATCAGCTTCAGAAATCAATGCCAGCGAGATCTACTTTGTGGAACTGGTTAAAGAAGATGGGACACTTGGATTCAGTGTGACTGTAAGAATTATTAGCAAGCTTGGGGAGTACACAGTTGAAAAGATGTTCATCTGTAGCCTTGGTGGGCATTCTACTCATATGGCAGCCTCTGATAATGTACAAGAAGCACATGGGAAGTGGTGAGCCATGAAAGTCAGTGGGGCCTCCATTGGGGTGGGGCTAGGAGTTCAAAGACAAACTGGGAGGGGCAGGACGGGTTGAGGATGATCAGGGACTCCAAGCAGCGCGGGTGGGATTGGTTGATGGGTCCTGACTCTGTGGTCACACTGCACACCAAGCAAAGGACAGCAGAGTGGGATGGCAGGGACAATAGCTGAAGGTGAGCCTGATTGATCCATGGTCATCCAGCACAGCATCATGGTGAAGCTTGGTGCTCCCGTTTCCAAGGACAGAACAGAATCACCTTGGCCAGAGTGGCGTTCAGGACGGCCGCTTTGCACTGGCTTCTGAGCTCTATCTGCAGACCCCGGAGGAGGGAAGGGAAAAAAACGGCACAAAAATGATATACTCCCACTGATGGATACATGCGTGAAGAAATCAGAATAAAAGATACAGTTAGAGCTTTATCTAGGGACCTGTAGGGATGGTGACGATCTATTGTCAAGTTAGAAAAAGAAGTAAGTTATAGAGCACTGTGTAGTTGATCCTAGGTTTGTACCTACAAATCCAAACTCAAGCATATGGTAGGTGCCAGGGCAGCCTTTGGGCCCATGGCTGCATCCACATATGCTGTTTGCTACTTATGGAGAGATGATGTGGTATGTCGGTGTGACTTGAACTTCTGAGCACCTGCCATGGGCTAGTTCTGGGCTGGATGTGACACAGCTCCCTTGTGCTGGCTGCATGGTTATACTCCCTTTGGACATCTAACCTTGCTGCACAGGGGATAATGTAGTCTGGGCAAACAAGTGAATATATAAGACACTGTCACATGGGGACGAAGTAATGGGATAGACTGTCAGGCAGATGGGAGGTTGGGGAGGCCCTTCAGGAGGAGGCAGACAGGTGGTGAGTGTTTCTTTGTGTTTTCCAGGGTGGCATCAACACAAGCGTGCCCTATGGGGGTATCTACGTGAAATCCATCGTTCCTGGAGGGCCAGCTGCCAAGGAAGGGCAGATCCTGAGGGGTAAGAGATGGAGTATGTTGGGAACTGCATTGTGTAGCGTGCGGAGCCCTGGCCTGGGGGAGGGGGGGGCGGGTACAGCCTCCAGGCCTTAGCCTCACTGCCACCCTAGACTTTGTGCAATTAACAGTCTCTCCAGGTCCTGGTTTCCTCCCCTGGGGAAGGGGCTGCTTTAACCTGTCACACCTCCTTGTGATATGTTAACAAGGATGTCTGTAGTGGCACATTGGGAAATGAAGGGTGATTTTAAAATATGAGATTTTAAATAAACTCATTGCTGTTTGGCCTTCACGGGAGAAAGTAGTGCTGCTCAGAGAGGACAGAGTATGCATTGGTGACCCCAATTTTGCATCCAGGGAGGATGCTGGCAAGCCTCTTCTCTGCCCTTCCTCACATCCACTGCTCTGAAGTGAGGGGGTGAGTTCTATGTTCTCCAAAATGGCCAGTTGAGCTAGAAAGGGCACCTCGGATCTTAGTTATCTCTAATTTCCCTAAAATTCCCATGTCTCTGGCAACAACCAGATCTTTCTGACCTGCTCTGAGATAAAAAACTTCCTGGAGATATAAACATAATCCCCAAGTGACTTGAAAATACTTTCAAAAATGGTTTCGGAGGAACACAGGAGAAGGTTCTACAGAGTTGGCTCAACCTCTCTGTGAGCCAATAAGAGAAAGATGTCTGTATCATCAGTCTATAAAGATGTCCAGGTTGGTGGCTGGCAGCCAGGACCCATCTGGGCTCCTCACAGCTCAGCTTCCTGCCCCTCCTTGAGGCTGCATGGAAGGGGGCTGGGCAGGGGCCTCCCAGAGGAGTCCTTCCTGCGGCCTAAGGAACTCAGAAACATGACATCTGTCCCCCTCCCAGGTGACCGGCTCCTGCAGGTGGATGGAGTGAGTCTGTGCGGCCTCACCCACAAGCAGGCTGTGCAGTGCCTCAAGGGTTCTGGGCAGGTGAGTGCACCATTATCGGGAGCTGTTCTTCCTTCCAGAGCTTTCCTGGACAATGTCAGAAGCTGCAGTTGCCTCTGACTGGAAGACAGACAGGCAGGGAGCAAAACAAGACTTTCTTCTTTGTCTTTTTGTCTCTGTCACTTCTTCACTTTTCTATGGTGATGTGAAAGCCAGGAGGAAGCAGCCAGATTCCTCAAGCAGAATACCTGCCCCCGCTGCAAAGACCCGTGAAAAGTTTGCTTTTCTCTTGCTGAGATTCTGGAATCAGACAGCTTAACAGAGCTGATGTGGTGGAGGGATGTCTCGCGCCTCACTCCGGCTGCTCCCTCACACTCTCTGCTCCAGCCTGAGCTGACCAATGCTTCCATCTGCTCTCAGGTCCTGTCACCAGCTGGCCTTTGCATCTGCCGAGAGCTTCTCCCCAGTTCATGCTATTCCCATCACCCTAGGTAAATTCAGGCCATGCTGTCTTGGGATTCTTTTCACAGTGAAGTAGAAACTCAAGACACCCTGAGATGCGGGCATGAACCCATTATTCTATGCAGCACCCAAACGGCATCTGGATATTACCATGCTGTGTTCAGTTCTCCTCCTGAGGGTGGGAGCCACAGAGCTGGCATTGCCCTCAAAGTAACTGGGGAGTTGGCAGAGAGAGGAAGGACTCCTGTGGGCCATTCTGGCAAACTAAGGGAGCAGAGGGCCCCTGCTTGCTTCCTTTCCCAAAGCAGTCTTCTGGTCTGTAGTACAATTAACTTATGCTGGTGACCTTGGTTCACCTAACCTGAGAACAGAGTCATAAGTTATTAGTGCTTTCCATTAGACTTTTTCTAATGAACGTGATTAGAGAAGGTATGTCTTGCTTGCTGCTGGCAGCTTGCTGAGAGTGATGACAGGTAGGAATTGTCACTCTGGGATCATGGGGTTGGTGATGAATGACAATGGCAGCAGAAGGATATTAGCAGGGCCAATATGGAAGCTTGGCCTTCCTTAAAAGCATCCAGGTGGGGGCGCCCGGGTGTTAGTCGGTTAAGCATCCGACTTTCGCTTAGGTCATGATCTCCCGGTTCATGGGTTCGAGCCCCGCGTCGGGCTCTGTGCTGACTGCCAGCTCAGAGCCTGGAGCCTGTTCAGAGTCTGTCATTCCCTCTCTCTCTGACCCTCCCCTGCTTACGCTCTCTCTCTCTCTCTCTCTCTCTCTCTCTCCTAGAAAAAAAAAAAAAAGCGTCCAGGTGATGTCCAGCCACTGGTTCCTGAAATATGCCTTGTGTAACAAGAGCAAAGAGTGTGTGGGGGAAGAAGGATGGGAAATCAAACCAGAAAGAAAGGGGGAGGCTGGATTGGCATAGGTTGGGGGGTACCATGCTAGGGGTTTGGACTCTAAGTGATGGGAAACATTGGAAACTATTGGTCAAGAGTGCTGCGTGTTGCTGGGGGGGTGCAAACTGGTGCAGCCACTCTGGAAAACAGAATGGAGGGTCCTCAAAAAATTAAAAGTAGTACTACCCTATGACCTAGCCATGGCCCTACTAGGCATTTATCCAAGGGATACAGGCATGCTGTTTCAAAAGGACACATGCACCCCAATGTTTATAGCAACACCGTTGACAACAGTTGAAATATGGGAAGAGACCAAATGTCCATTGACGGGTGAATGGATAAAGAAGACGTGGTATATATATATGTACAATAGAGTATTACTTGGCAATTGAAAAGAATGAAATCTTGACATTTGCAACTATGTGGATGGAACTAGAAGGTATTATGCTAAGCGAAATTAGTCAGAGAAAGACAAATATCATATGACTTGAAGGACCTGAAGATACAAAATAGATCAACATGAGGGAAAGGGAGCAAAAATAATATAAAAATAGGGAGGGGGACAAAACATAAGAGACTCTTAAATATAGAGAACAAACAGAGAGTTGCTGGAGAGATTGTGGGAGGGGAGATGGGCTAAATGAGTAAGGGGCATTACTCCTGAAACCATTGTTGCACTATATGCTAACTAACTTGGATGTAAGTTAAAAAAAAAAAAAAGAATGTTGCATGTTCAGTTTGTGTCTTAGATCAATCCGTGGGTAGCCATGGGCAGAATGGACTGAGGAAGAGAAGGTAGGGTTCAGGAAGCCAAGTTAGCTGGAGCTTTGCCACGGTCCAGCTGGGCATTGGCAGTAGGGGAGGGAATGGGGAAAGGGGGACCCTGCGGGAGGTGTTTCTGACGGTGAAAGGCAAATCTTAGAAAGCAGATATGCATCTGGAAGACAGAAGGGGGTCTGGATCACTGCAAGTGTGGCCCCTAGTTGGTTAGTTGAGGGATGGTTCCATGTTCTGAAAAAGCAGATGTGGGAGGAGGAAGGTTTTTGGCAGTACTAGGAGTGAGTAGTGAGGATGCGAGAGAGGAAGATGAATTTGGCCTTGAATGCACTGAAATGGAGGTACATGTGTTACCTCCAGGAACATTTGGCTAACAGGCCCTTGAAAATATGGCTCCGGATCCTAACAAGTTAGGCTAGACTGAAGATTTTAATTTGAGATTCAAATGAAGCCACTAGTGGAAGTTATCAGGAAATGAAGAAGCGACTGCAGAGTGAAAGGAGTGCCTCCTGGTGGCGATATGAAGTGTAACCTGAGTTTGTTACACCCGTCTTCTAGGTTGCAAGACTGGTCTTAGAGAGAAGAGGCCCCAGGACCACACAGCAGAGTCCTTCTGTTAATGGCACGATGGGAGATAGAGGCACCGCTGTTTCCTTGGCAACAGCCTTGCCCGGCAGGCCTGCAAGCTGCATCTCAGTGACAGATGGTGAGAGAAGAGAGAATTGAGTGTTACTATTGTCATGTCATCCCGTGCTGCCTTTGAATTCTCAACTCAAAAGGGAAAGCAGGAAGTCTTCCTCTAGGTTCTCAAAAGACACTGAGCATGATGTGGCTGGCTTTCGGATGCTGTGGAAGCCAATATAAAGGAATATGTTTCTGGAAAAAAAATACATTGTCCTCAAATGATTGCTAGGCATAACTCTCCCCAAGCTTTCCGAGGCTTCCTGATCAGGTGCCTGGATGCTCATGAATAAATATGTAGGAATGAAATCAGAATGAAAGGGTCATCCATTGCCTGACCAAATCTCCACATTCCAGCCAGGATATCTGTAACAAAAGATCTGAGGCTTGAAGAGGCAGGCTGGGGGAGAGGAAGGCATTCAGAAATCTAGCCTTGCTATTAGCAGCATTTAAAACAGTAAGCCTCCATCAGTTTGCAGCGATGTCATTGTGTATCTTCTGAGGGGTGGCCTCTCGGCACTTCTCTGTGATTTTGTTTCCTGTTAGGAAAACGTGTATTTCTTTTGTATTTCATGATTTGGAGCTTAGCCATTTTTTCAATCTCTTTATAGAGATTTTCCTGAAGGTGTAAGTCAGGTTGAATGCAAGGTAGCCATAGTGAGTGATGGGGTTGGGTGGAGGGGGAGATGTGTGCATAAGATGAGTCTGTTTCCGTTTTCATTGCCCCTCTGCTCACTCCAGTGAGGCCCTTTGACAAACTGACTATCAGACGAGGGAGGGGCCTCACAGTAGTGATGGTGAAGTTGGTAGTACAATACACCTGAACCTAAAAGCTTTAGATGCTTTCATTCTCGCCCCAAATTAAGGCTTATGAGCCAGTGCTCTGTCCTTCTGTTGACTGATTGCCAACTGAGCTGAAAACAGACTAGGAGAGACCCAGAGGCCTTTTTGCTGTCAGGCTAGGGAGGTTCCTGAGGCTGTGTCCACCTTTGATGCCCAGAGGTAGCCATTTTGTCTTATGGTCCATCCACATGGGTAAACAAAACAGCAGCTAAAAAATGTCAGTAGAGTTTATCGTAATTTTCTCCATGGTCTAACCAAAATTTCATTTCAAGTATACTAAAAGTGATTGAGGTTCTAAAGGAGGAATGTGAATATATATGATACATGGTTTACCAAATGATAAGGGCAAATTGTGTCTGTCTATAAACTATATCTTTACCTATAGACTTTGTCAATGATCTGGAATTGCTTTATCCAATATGGTAGCTACTTGCCACATGTGGCTATTTGAATACTTGAAATATATCCAATCCAGATTGATAAAATACATATTCAATTTTTGAAGACTTAGTTCAAAAGAAGAATGCAAAATATCTCATTAATTTTTTTATATTGTTACAGGTTGAAGTGATAACATTGTAGCTATATTGGGGGGGGGTGCCTGGGTGGCTCAGTGGGTTGGGCGTCTGACTTCGGCTCAGGTTATGATCTCACAGTTCGTGGGCTCGAGCCCCGTGTGAGCTCTGTGCTGACAGCTAGCTCAGAGCCTGGAGCCTGTTTCGGATTCTGTGTCTCCCTCTCTCTCTGACCCTCCCTGTTCATGCTGTCTCTCTCTCTCAGAAATAAATAAAAAACACTAAAAATTTAAAAAAATATTGTAGATGTATTGGGTTAAGCACATTATAGGATTGAGTTTATTTTTACCTATTTCTTCTTACTTTTTTTAAGTTTATTTACTCTGAGAAAGAGAGGGAGAGTGAGTGTAAGTGGGGGAGGGGCAAAGAGAGAGGTGGAGGAGGGACAGAGAGAGAAAGGCAGAGAGAGAGTCCTAAGCAGGCTCTGTCTGTACTGTTAGTGCAGTGCCTGATGCAAGGCTGGAACTCACGAACCATGAGATCATGCCCTGAGCTGAAATCAAGAGGCAGACACTTAAGGGCCTGAGCCACCCAGTCAGGCCATCTTACTTTTAAAAATGTAGTTGTTTGAGAACTGAAATTAATTACCTGGTTCGTGATTCACATTTGCAACACACCTTGTTTCCATTGGAGAGCACTCATCTAACGGATCTGAGTATAATGAATTCTGTCATAAAAATTAGCAAAATGAGGTCTTTTTCTGTAACACAGAAATAATTCACCTACTTGACAGTTTGCATTTTAAGGCTGGTCAGTTTCACTCGTTATCTACTGACAGATTTATCTTGCTCACCTCCTACAATACAGGTTGTAAGTTTGAAGTCACTCTGAAAAAGAATGCCAGTGGCTTAGGATTCAGCTTCATGCAGATGGAGAGAGAGAGCTGCAGTCATCTCAAGAATGATCTTGTGAGAATTAAGAGGCTCTTCCCGGGGCAGCCGGCTGAGGAGAACGGGGCCATTGCCGTTGGTGACATTATCCTGGCAGTGAATGGAAGGCCCACAGAAGGCCTCGTCTTTCAGGTGGGAAACCATCTGGCCCTGTGTGCACACTGACACCATCCATGTTTCTTTCAGGCCCACCGACCATAAGGAATACTCTGGGCTCTTCAAAGTCATGCTTGGAGCCTGGATCACATAAAGAGAGCAATTGGTGGAACATTCTCACATTTAATTTTCTGTGTCAGCTCTTAAATATCTGACCTTGAGTAAGCGTTGCTTTCAGTTAGGTTTATAATGAAACTGAAGATAAAACCCTGGCTCTGTGCTGGCTAAAGCACACCTAAAATTCCAGAAGGTTGGATGTATAGGCTGAAGAGACTACAGCGGGTCCTCTTCTGTCCTTCTTCCCATTTCTCTTTTAAATGTACAGCTTTTCATGTGTAGTGTTGCATTGGTTGTCCTGTAGATGATCAAAAATATAATTAAAAGAAGAGAGAGAGTGAAGAGTGGACACTTCTCAATGCTGACAGCACAAAATCTCAAAGAAATATTATGCATGTATCAGTCAGGGTCCTGGCTGGGAATTGAGTCACTTCAGGAGAGTTTAATGAAGATGTGGGCTGGTTGTCGAGCAGCTCAAGGGACACTATAGAGCTCAGGGGCTGGGAACAATGGGTGCAGTTACCCATCCACCCATCTCAAGTCCAAAGACATATGTGAAGGAGCAATTATACAACCCAGAAAACTGAGAGAGACGTGGTGAAGTGGATGTGATGACATGAGCTGTGCTATTTGCTGCCAGCCCCAGCCATTCTGCACAACCCCATGGGGAGGAACGCAGAAAACGAAATATTCACCTTCCTGCTCTTCTGTCTTTGATCCAGCCCATGCTCCCATTGGCTGAGCCCAACAGGAAGCACCTCCTTCTCCTCCTATCTCTGACTCCCACCCATGCTTCTTTTGGCTGAGCCCAACAGGAAGCCTCATTGCAGTCTGCACAGGCCCACCTCCAGAGCACAGAGCAAGGTGGATAGTGACTCTGAACCAGGTGGTGAGGGGTGGAGAATCCTCAGGACAGCATATATTTGGGTGGTGATACCTTCAGCTATCTACTGTGTGAGCCAGCTGTTTTCCGAGAACTAATGTTAGGTCAGCAGCCCTCTGAGGAGCTAAAGACACAGAGGCAGCCAATTCATTGGTCTCAGGCTTGCGGTGGGGTGGACAAACAAGAAAACAGAACCGACTGTGGAAAACAAGTATCGTGAGAGACAAAACTGCTTGCCCCAGGGAACTGGGGAGGGAAGAAACACATTCTGTGGAAGTCCATTGCCGCCAAGGGGAGAAGGATATTAAATGGTGTCCAGATTAACGGTTCTCAAGTGGGGATGATACTACCTTTCAGGGGACACTTGGAAAAATTCTGATATGTTTGTGGTTGTCACAACTGGCAGGTGCCACTGGCATCTAGTGGGCAGGGACCAGAGATGCTGCTCAACATCCTACGATTAACAGGACAGCCCCACAACAGAGTTATCCAGCCTAACATGTCAGTAATGCCAAGGGGTTGAGAAATGCTGGCCTAGATAGGAAACAGGAGCTGTCAGGGCACCTTGGGCTCTGAGAGAGTGGGTTGGAGGGAGAGGCTCAGCACGGTGGGAGCTTCGGATATGGGAGCTGAGGGTGCAGATGGGAAAGAGAGTGGGCACGAGAGGCAGGTAAGATTTCTCCTGTGTGCTGTGCTGCAGAGCTGGTTGAGTGTGAGACGAGCCAGAGGGGGAGCTCAGCAGGAGAAGGACCTGGTTATATCTGTGTTTTGGAAAGAGCGCTCTTGAACGATGTGGAGGAAGGGAGGTGGGTGACACTGGAGGAGGCAGGGAGCAGAGAGGAGGGCACTGCAATTTCACAGGTGAGAGGTTCTGAATGTCGAGCTGACCAGTGGAGGAAAGCTTGGGGCCAAGGGGCAAGCTTTAGAGATTGGGGTTGTGGAGCGTACATGACTGATGGCCCCTGAGATGAGGGGGTGTGGAGAGGAAAGAGGGTTGAGATGATGAATAGCTGTTTGTTTGAGTCATTCTTTCAATGAAGAAAAGGCATCAGTATTGGCAGGTGCTGCCATGAAGAGACCCTGGGCAGACCCTGGCCACTTCTAGCACAGCACATGTGCATGGCCTTCATGGGAATGTCAGGCTGGTGGCTTTGGCTTCTCTCCCTTTAGGAAGTCAGGCCCAGAGCAGTATTCTCCAGAATTCTCTGGAGTTGAGAAATAGATCAAGGGGATAGTGCCAGAGAGTAATGGGGAGCACAAAGGAGATGTCACAGCCATGCCATTCCCACATCTAACTGCAAACTTTGGCTTCTCGTAGGAGGTGCTCCATTTACTGCGAGGGCCATCAGAGGAAGTCACACTCCTACTTTGCCGACCCCCTCCAGGTTCACTGCCTGAGATAGACCAGGGATGGCAGGTAAGATGCGGTGGGATCCTCTGGTGCCTTTAAGCACTGTTTTTCTTGTCTGGTGGGTTCTGAGAAACCCAACTTTCTTTTAGGTAGGGTTCAATGCCATTTTCTTCCCCTGGGGCAGGAAGATAGTTGGCCTCCAAACCTCAGTCTGTGAGAAGTTCATGAGATTCTATCTCTCTCTTCTCCTTGCCCTCTCTACTCTGCCTCTCCAATGTTTGGGCCTTCCTGTAGATAGTAACATGTTTAGATCTTGTCTGTGAATCTTCTAGAGCCAGGGCCTCTGGCAGTCCATGCATCAGAGACGGGAAGCCAGGGGCAATGGGAAAAAATACAAAACCAGACTGAGGGAAGGTAAGAATTTCCATTTTGAAGAATGAAATGGAGAGTAGGATGAATGTCTGCCCTCATAAAGCATGAATTAGCCATGTAAGGCCTAGTGCAAAGAAAAGGCACTGAAATCAGGAAAATTCAGAATTTTGGCTTCAATACCTATATTAGGTTCTCCAGGGAAATAGAATCTATAGGGTATGTATGTGTATGGGTATGTGGGTAGGTGGGGGGAGGTACGGGTGGGTGGGGGGTTAGGGCATGGGCTCATGTGGTATGGGGACTGGCCAGACTAAATTCTGCAGAATAGACTAGTAACCTAGGAAGGAGCTGATGTTGCAGTGTGCACCTCAGGGCAGACCGGAAGCAGAATTCCTTCTTTCTTGGGGATCTCAGTCTTTTTTTCCTGAGGCCCTCAACTGATTGAGGCTGACCCACATCACGGAGTATAATTTGCTTTACTCACAATCTGCCGATTTAAATGCAAATCTCATCTAAAAAAATGCCTTCCCAGAAACATCCAGACTGGTGTTTGACCACGTACCTTGGTGCTGTGGCCTAGCCAAGCTGACAGATGAAACTGATCATCCCAATGCCACCTGTTGGGTCCCTGGGACACAGACTCTGCAGCAGAGATTTGAGTGCCAGCGGTTATGGGGCCAGCTCTTGGAACACCCCTGTGAGGGGAAGGGAGGCGGGGCTGGGCGGTAAGGGAAGATACTGTGTGCAGCTGCCACAGAGGCTTCTGTTCATGCCACAGGGAACTTTGGAGATGGGACGGGCCCTCAGAGCTGTCCTGAATTGGGGTGAGAGAGCCTGTGCCTTTGCATTTTGTATCAGCTGGCACTGGAGTGGGGCTGCCCCAGAGGGGACCTGGCTTTGACTGAGACAGCTCTCTTGAGCTGGACATGGTTCCTGGGGAGGGGCTAGCTGTGAGTTGTGAGTAATTGTCATTCACAGCTGCTGGGAGATGAGGACTTTGTCCTGGAGAGGGATCTGTGTGGGTACTCTGCAGTCACCTGTACTGTTCTGCCACTTACTGGCTACAAGGATCTGGGGCAATTGCCTGACTTCTTTAGGCCTCATGATTCCTTATTAATTAAGATGTGGATAAAATCAGTCACTTATCACTGGGGTGATAGTCACTAGAGACATCACAGGGGATTTGGGGACCCAGATCTTTTTGATTCTTGGACTCCAAGAAGTCATTTGATACAGACTTTGGTGAGAAAATTGCCAGGGAAAGGAAACCAGAAAGCTGCCAGTTTGGAAAAGAGGGTAGACGTAGCAGTTGTGTAGAGCAACTAACCAGGGTGGCAAGGTCAAGCCTCACATGCACAAAGATCAGGTTAAGGGCTTGTGTCTTGTGTTTTTGCTGGGGTATCTAGGAAATGCCAGGAAAAAATGGTCCTTCTGTTCTGGAGAATAGACTCACCTAGGAGGGCCCAGAAAAGTCTAGTGCGAGGGCTTAGGGGTATGGTGGGCATGCTTTCTCTCTCCTCAGACTTGAGGGCCAAGTGGAAGAGGAATTTTCATTCATTCACGTGGCTCCAGAGGTCAGATAGAAGACCAATGAACGGAGCATTTAGTTCATAACTAGAATAAAGTAGTCATGGAAAGGAGGGAGCCATACAAAATCTGGAGTAAGGTCCGTCCAAGCAGAAGTGATAGCAAGTGGGAAGGCGCCAAGATAGGAATGAACCTGGATGTTTGAGGGACAAAATAATAACAGGCATGCCTGGACTGCAGCTAACGAAGGGGAATGTGGAAGGGGAGAAGCCACAGAGGGAGTCAGGGGCCACATTGTGTAGGGCGTTGTAGGTCTTGGCCATCTTGGCCAAGGTGCATCTTGATTGCATCTTGGCTATGATGGGAGGCCACGGGGCTGGAAGTGGTATGAGGGTGAAGAGTTAGGCAGGAGCACACCTTCATCTGGTCTATACTTCAGAAAGACTGCTAAGCTGGAGATGGACTGGAGCACATAAGCCCTCAGTCATTCAAGTAAGATATTGCAGCTTGGACTCCGGTTGTAGCCAAATAGTTGATAATAAATAGTCAGATGTAGCATATGTCTGGGAGGTAGAGTGCAAAGGACTACTTTTGGCTTAGATGTGGTCACATGGAAAGAGAGCAAAGTTTTCCTTGGACAACTGGCTGAATGATGATACTGCTTGCTAAGACAGGGTGTGTTTGCAGAATGCAGTTTAAACGACAGGGCAGAGAAGCGGTAGTACTTAGTAGCGCATAAAACTGAAATGTCCACAGAACAGTCAGGGGAGATGTCAATTAGGCAATTTGTGGAGACCTGGCATGAGGTCAGTGCTGGAAAAGGTGGATTTGGGAATTGTTGGCAAATAATGTTATTTGAAGCCATGACATGGATGAGATCACCTTGGGAAAGAGTGCAGAGAAGTAAGCCATGGGATCTCCCCCAACACGGAAAAGTCTAATTCAAAGAAATGAGACAGCAGGGGCACCTGGGTGGCTCAGGTGACATAAGTGTCCGCCTCTTGGTTTTGGCTCAGGTCATGATGTCACAGTTGGTGAGTTTGAGGCCTCGCATTGGGCTCCATGCTGGCGGTGTGGACACTGCTTGGAATTCTCTGTTTCCTTCTCCATCTGCCCTTTCCCCATTCACATGGTCTGTCTCTCAAAATAAAGAAATATACTTAAAAAAAAGAAAAGAAATGAGACAGCAGAAGAGTAGGGCTCTGAGGGTGGTGGGAAAATGAGGCAAGGGCAGAGTTCAGAGAAAGCCCCACATTCAAGTAGAGTAGATGAAAACAGAATTGTCCTTTGGCTTCAGAAAGACATAGGTCACTAGAGACCCCGATCAGAGTTCCTTCAGTTGAATGATGGAGGCAGAGGCCTGGGTGGAGTGGGTGCAAGGAGAAGTGGGGAGACACAAGCAGAAATAGCAAGTACAGGCATGCATTTGAGGAGCAGAGAAACGAGTGGCCTGGTAGTTGGAGGAGGTTAGGACAGGGATGCAGGCTGGTTGATAGATTGCTGTGGGGAGGTGAAGGATTCTTATCTGAATGTGCCCATTCTCACTGAGAAGTGAGAGGCAAAGGCAGGGGGGTGGTTGAGGAGGGAGTTGAGAAGTCATGTAGAAGGCAGAGAGAATAGGAAACTGGCTTCACAAAGGAAGTAGAGAACGATTATCTAGAATTCTTGAGTGCCCACTGGACACCTGTGCTCACACGCTTGGCCTTAGTCAGTGGCTCAGAAACAGGCATAAAGCTCACATAGAACGTCACTAGGAATTGGAATGACAATATGGCATTTGCATATAACACAGAATGGAGGCAAAAATGGAGGCACATAACACAGAATGGGAGCTCGAGGTTTTCTTTATTTTTAAGGGAGTGTTTATGGGACAGAACCACGGAATGTTAGCAGAGGAAGAAGGGAAGTGGCGGTGATAACATACCATTGACTGGAAGCCTTGAAGAGGGTGAAGGATTGCTGTAGAGTGAGTCCTGGGGATGTTGAGTTGTTGGGAAAGGAATGGTTGGAAATGAAATTTTGGAGCTCTCAGTATGATTATGAGAGAAAATATAAATGGTCTTACAGTTTATTTCTTATCCATTTCAAATTTTAATTTTTGGTATATCCTTTATAATGTACATTGTATATCAGTAGAGTAATAAGAATTTATGATTCACAAGTAAAGGAAAGTGTACCTTTGGAAGCATATCCCTCTCTCATCTGGGGGAGTGGGCAGTTGGCAAGGCAAGGAGAACAGTAGTGGGGGGGGGCAGAGCGCCTCTGTTACAGGTGAGGGCAGGGACGGAAGCCCAGCCCTGTCCGGCTCTCAGGTCTGTGTGCTCTGTCACATCAGGGGTGTGGACCATGGGATGGAAGTGCTTAAAGATAATTTTCGAGAAAAGGTAAAATCATGACTCTCACATAGATATAAAATTGAATATATGCTAAAGATTTTATCTAACTCATTCGATGAGGGAACTAGGCAGATGTTAAAACTGAATTGAAAAACATTTCAAGGAAAAACAATTTGTTCATACAGAGTTATGAAATAGCTCAAGGTGAAAAATACAGTAGAGCCAGATAGCCCAGAAGGTTGTACTATACACAATGTGTGGTTTCCATCGACATATAGATTTTTTCCTCCTCTAGAAAGTTGGACAGTGTTAGCGCGCCACAGTGTCATCACATTGTGCATCAAAATTAGAACCGAGAAGGCCCAACAAGGAGGTCAGCAGTGGAGGGCAATCAAGGAATGTTTGGAGAAGCGGGGGGGGGGGGGGGGGAGGAGACCTAAGAAAGGGAATCAGAGTGGGCAGGGAGATGAGGCTGTGAAAAGGAGACATCATGGAGGAGGGCAGGTACAGACCAGCGTTGACAAAACTCATTTCTTATTGGTACGTGGGAAAAAGGGTCTGTGTTACTTCTGTTTCCATGTTTTCTTAAGTTTTCAAAATATTAAAAAAAATAATGCTTACATTTATCAAGGGCTTCCAATGCCCCAGAGCTAAGGGGTTTAGAGATGGTTACTTGTGTCGTCTAGGATCCATGGGGAGCTGGGCTCCTGACAGAGGGAGACTGACCCCAGAGCCCATCTCTTAACTGCTCTGCCCTACAATCACATGGGAAAAAAAAAAAGGTTATTTTTAAATTCTTTTAGACTTTGCTTAGTGTGCACCATTGATCCAATAACCCTTAGCATTTCTTTTAATAGACACCCGTGCTCTCGGCAGACAAAGAATTCACCAGGGCAACTCGCACTGACTCTGAGCAGAGCCCCAGTCTGGATCAAGAGGATGGCCGTAGGGACAGTGCCTCCCCCGATGCGGGGGAAAGCCTGGGTCCTGGGCCAGAGTCTTTCCAAAAGGCCACTGGTGAGGCACAACGGGACCAGGACATAGAGAGACCCTGGGCCACTTCCTCGATGCGACCGCAGGACTTCCCCCCTCATTTATGCAGACCTCAGCAAGAAATGGATGTCTCAGCATTGGCCACCTCTTTGGAAAGGGATATGAAGCAAAACTGCTATTCGGTTTGTGATATCAGGGGACTTGAAAGGTAAGAATCACCGTGTTCACAGACACTTTATAAATGGTATGTATTTCCTTGCTGGAAATGACAATCAGGCAGTTAATAGCTGTGTGCAGATGCTTACTGGGTCCAGCACTTTTCTAGGCATCTGGAGGGGGGGTGGGAAAAAACGGATCATAAGATCTAGAGTGGCTGCAGCCACAGTTGGTGAGCTTTTGGGAAAGCTCCCCTCACCCGCTGGTCCTCTAGTACCCTTGGATCCTGCGGATGGCAGGCCTCAGAGGCTTTTCCAGCACACAAACCTTTGTGCTGCTTTCTGCACGGCCTTTTAAAGCATCGTAGTGAGAAAGAAGTTCCCTGATACGCATCACCATTTTTTATTGCTAACGTTACATTTTACAGTCAATACCAGCTTAAAAAAATCCATCTTCAAACACCAGACTGGAAGGTTCATTTTCATAGCCATTTTTTTAAGTTTGTTTATTTATTTTGAGAGATGGGGGTGGGAGGGGCAGAGAAAGAGAGGGAGGGAGGGAATCCCAAGCAGGCTCCGCACCTTCAGCGCAGAGCTTGAGGCGGGGCTTGAACCCACGAACCGTGAGATCATGTCCTGAGTCGAAGTCAAGTGTCAGATGCTTAACCAACTGAGCCCCCAGGGGCCCCAATAGTAGCCTTTTTTTTTTTTTTTTAACTCAGGCTTCATTTTGTGCCCATCCCCCATAAGTATTTCCAGTTTTCCATCCTGTTCTGATGAAAAACATTCTGTCTGATTCAGTTTGACAGTATTTATCATATATAGTCAAGGTGCAGAGGAACCGGTTAGGAACAGAGAGAAGGTACACATACTGAGAAAGGGAGAGATACTGCTTCGAGGCATGTGCTAGCTAGATGCACGGGCACAAAGCCAGCGAATAATGAGGAACGACTGTTCGTGTTAGATGCTGTATAAACCCACTGCTATGAAATGACTCTTTTTGTTTTTTTAAATGTTTTATTTATTTCTAGGAGGGAGGGAGAGAGAGAGAGAGAGAGACAGCGTGAGCAGGGCAGGGTCAGAGAGAGAGGGAGTCACAGACTGAAACAGGCTCCAGGCTCTGAGCTGGCAGTCAGCACAGAGCCCGACGCGGGGCTCGAACCCACGAACCGCGAGATCATGACCTAAGCGAAAGTTGGACGCTTAACCGACTAAGCCACCCAGGCGCCCCTGAAATGACTCTTTTTTGCTGATCATCCTAGACGACCAACTAGGGCAGATCTTTAGGGACTGACAGGTGACATGAAGTATGAAGCAGCGGGTGTAATGAATGCAGTTAGACAGGGCAAGCTCTGTGACTAACAGGGGCCCAGCCTGTGTTCCCTAAAAGCAGTCAGACTCAATTTTTATAAGAAGACTGCACCTGCCAAATAAAAACTAGCCAGTGTGCCAAATAGAACAGAGTGGACAAGCACATTCACCAGTGGAATTCATTTGCATGGTCTGAAAATGTGTAAATACAAGCATATTTATAGTTTCTTACAATTGCGGTTCTAGGCAGTCATAGATATATTTGATCACATGATAAAGGAAATAATCTACAGAGGTTTATCCAAGGACAGCTATCAGTGTGATCTTCTAGGAAATATAAAAGGAACTGTACTTCCTTATAGGCGTGAGGCTACCCTTTTGGATTTTTAAAAGTTTTACTGCTAGAGAGTTTGGGGTGATGGATAGAAATGCCGAGTGTTGGATTATAAGGTGACTCTGGGTTTAGGTAGAATACTGGAGTTTAACTTACCATGTGCTTGTAATCTGATACAGTTATCAGCCATTAATAATCAGCGTGTTTGTTTTTACTATTGTTAGTTTGATCAATGTTTCGTTCATGGAGTCACAGAATCTGGGGGTTGTTTAATATAAAAGTGATCAAATCCTACCTCATATCCCACCGTGAAATCTCTTGTGTAATATCCCTGCAGTAGGGTGTCCGCTTTGCTTGAATACCTCCCAGGATGCAGAATTCACTACCTCTTAAGGTGGCCCATTTTGTCACCATGTGATTTTTGATCAGAAAGCGCTTCCTCGTATTAGAGTGACATCTGCCTTTTTCTGTCTTCTAGTTATATGTAGATGCCTGATTCCTCCTTTCTTTTTTGTCATTATTTTTTTTGCAAGAAATACAACATTGTACTATTTTTCTGAATCAAATTAAATTTGGCTTAGTGTTCCTACTTGAAAGGGTATACCCGATGTCCAAAATGTGCCATCTTTGGAAGGGGGTTGCCCTCTCCTAGAGTTACACAAGAATCCTGAGGGCCTTTGCAGAACATTCCGGTAGAGCTTCTGATATTCACTTGTTCTTCCTGCCCTATGCTTGTTGCCCAGGCCGATGTGGTCCATGGAACACAAGGGCAACCTTACCGTTTCTCTGTCCTGGCTCCTCCCATGGCCGACACCTCCTCTTTGCACTTGACCTTCCCCGTCGTGGCCCTGGCAAGGACAGTGCTCTGCCTCCTCACATTTCCTTCCTCCACTTTTCCCATGTTTTCTTCCCCCCACTCAGGAACCTTTCTCTCTCTGAAGGAAGGACTTAAGCCATGTTAGCTTCTCCTCTAACAGGACATTAGCCTGCTCTAGATGAGTATGTAGTGACTGTCTCCTCTGGGAGGAAAAGCATGGCACGTGCCCATCTGTCTCTGAACACATTCTGCCAGTTCCTGGTGGCATCGTGGCCCCTTGAAGTCTCCTTTAGGAGCATCTGTACCTTGGTTCTGAGGTGGCTGTCCCAGGCAAGTGCCTCCTTTGCTTCTGATATCTGTGCGTCAAGCTCTTTCTGCAGTAAGAGCAAGACTTCTTGATGGGATAGCCTTGGCTTCAGCTGTACCACATCCTGAGTATGCCTGGAGTGTTGACTCCTGGGAGCTTGGGGCGTCTCGAATGTAAACAAAGACCCCAACCCCACCACAGGGTACCGCGCAGGTCAAAAGAAATAAACACGCAGAGTGTTATCACAGCGCCTGGCTCACAGCGGGAACTCAACCCAAGTCAGTTTCTTTCTCTTTCTTGAATTATTTCCAGCTAAAGAACAGGTCCTGTCAACTGAAATTCCCAGGCAACTGTCAGAATTGACCGGCTAGCAGGTGGCTACTTCTTAAAGCCAGGTGGCTTGCGAGCACCCCAGCAAGCCCAGACTACTCATAGAGAAGATGAAGTTTTACTTTTCCTTCCTTCCGTTTTCTTTTCTTTTACAATTTTGTATCTGGAGACTGCCATATTGCAGCAGATCTTTAGAAAGCATGTTAATAAAGCAGTACAGTATATTTCCACGGAGGAGGGTTAGAATCGTGTGCCTGCCAGAAGAACGGCTTGGCACTTGGCTAGAGTTGCATCTTATGCAAGGTTTATTTCTAAAGTTAGGGCATAAGGCAAAAATCACATCAAGTCACGTCACTTTGGAAGGCACGATGTTATTTGCTCCCCTGGTCGGGAACAGATCCCTTTTGCTTTGGTTGAGCCTTAGGTGAAGGGCCTTGCTGTCTGCCAAATGCTTATCTTTAAACGCTGGACTCAGAGGAATGAATTGGGAAGGGAGGCTCAAGGCTCCCACTTGTGTTCCCTCTAGGGCTTACGCTGATGGAGTGGGAAGCTGGTCATTGCAGGGTGTATAAGGTTATTTCTCTCTCTGTCTCTTGCCTAGCATATATAGTTAAATTCATGCAATTAAAAGGCATGTCGTTTCAGCAAGTATCATTTAGTGAAAGTGATGCTATAAGTCTTCATGCTCATTAGGAAACACAAAATGAAGCCAGAGTCCTTGAAATGAACCTAAAGTTACTGTAGAGCTTCTGGGGAGGGCACTGTTCCTGGAATAGCACAGGATGATTAGGAGGCTAAAGGTCTAACTCTGCTGTGGCTGCCGTGCTGGCTGTGGCCTCAGAGGAGCTGGCCAAGGCATGAGGCTGCCAGGTGAGGGGGGCCATCAGTCTGATGGGAGGGTACGGGGAGCCCCCGTGAAGGCGGAGCGTGCCTGAGGGCAGCAGGTGAGGCAGGTGCCTGGCCAGGAGCAGCGTCGTCTAACAGCAGAACTGGGGCAGGCTGGGGCCTGGTGCCACTGTCAGCAGGCTTCTCTCTGCCCACTTCCAGACTCCACGGGGATCCCCCCTACTTCCCACCAAACCGCACATAGCCAGGCACATCACTCCAGTAACTCCCGAACACCGACCTTCAGCTCAGGGTTGTCATGCGAGCTTCAATCTCAGCAGTCTACCGGACTTCCCTACTGGAGTGTCCAAGAGACACACCCTAGGGGCCACCAAGCCCTCGGCACACACTCTGACCCCTCACCTCTTGCAAAGAGCTTACTAGAAAGATTGGAGGGAGATGGTGGCGGGAGGTAAAGGCGAAACTGTCAGGCACTGCATTGGCCCGTGGGCACCTGTTGCCACCTGCTTGTCTTCTGCCTGGAGGGAGGGGAGGAGGGTGGGGGCAGGTTCCTGCTGGGGCCAGGGTGGGGCAGGGTGTGGGCGGGACATAGGCAACAGACCCGATTTCCCGTTCTCTGCTGAAACTTCCACAGCGTCCCCTTCCGCCTCTATAAGAAAATGCATTTTCTGCACAATTTGGTCAAGTGCTTTAAGGTTGTTTTTTTTTTTTTTTTTTTAACATTTTTATTTATTTCTAGGAGAGAGAGAGACAGCATGCGCAGGGGAGGGTCAGAGAGAGAGGGAGATACAGACTCTGAAACAGGCTCCAGGCTCTGAGCAGTCAGCACAGAGCCTGACGTGGGGCTCGAACCCACGAACCGTGAGATCATGACCTAAGCGAAAGTCGGACGCTTAACCGACTAAGCCACCCAGGCGCCCCAAGTGCTTTAAGGTTTTAAACCAATTTTCCCTCAAAGTGCTTTGCGATTTTAAAAAATTACTTTCTTAAAGCGAGTGTTCCCCTTTATTCCAGGTAGCATATAGTCTCCTTTTGTGCACATGAATGTGTGTATATTTACATGAAACACGCATTTACATATACTGTGTAGATCTCCTGAGCAGAAACAATGTCTTTTTGACAGTGAAACTCAGGTTGGGACAGACACGTCACTTCTCCGAGGGAGGAGGACAGACTTTCTGGGGGTTTGGGGCTTGTAGCTATTGAGGGGCACCAGAGCTGAGTTTACAAGAGAGAGGCATTTTGAGAAAGGGAAGGGAGGGCAGCGGGCACATAATAAAGCCAACCCATTGCTTTGGGTGCAGAAGGAGGCTGTTTGGCGAAAAGCTAAATCTGTGCATTTTTTTTTTTTTTAGATTTTCCTACTCACCCTCTCTAACCAGGCTTTCGACAGATATTTTCTGAGCAAGTTCTCTGCATGTTTGAAGCGCTGTACTAAATGCTCTGCTGGCTGCATGGACTGCTTTTTCTTTTTTTTTTTTTTTTTTTTTTTTTTTTTTTTTTTTTTTTTTTTTTTTTTTTTTTTTTTTTTTTTTTTTCATGGACTGCTTTTTCTAATCAAAATGCATGTGTAGTGACCTTTAGGCAGCCTCTGGAAGGCTGACTCTTCATGCTGTGTCTGTATCTTCACCTCCAGACAGTGAGCCTCACTCACCGTTCATCTGCCTCCTGTGTCACATGGAGAGGAAATGTCACTCCAGCTAGCTGCCTCTCCAAATTGGCACTTTCTCAGTGCTCAGAAAAGGACTCGATATTTGCACAGAGCTCTTTGAAGGGCACCTGCCTGAGTTGCTTCCAGCCTTCCGCTTTGGCCCTGTCCCTCTAACCCCTCTGTCGAAACGGCAATCCTAGTCATGGCCATGACAGCCCCTCCCATTTACTGAGGACTCACCCTGAACCAGGAGCCATGGACGAGTATACCAGAATTCTGTGCTCTAAGCATCGCAGAAATCCTGTAAATTTCTCTACCTTCCCACTTTTCCGATGAGAAAACTGAGGTCCCAGAGAAGTTAATAAGCTTTCCTGAGAACTGAAGTCATAGCCTAGAACTGAGTCATAGCTCAGTTTTTGATGCCGCGTCCTCTGGCAAGTCCCCCATGGCCTCCTGGGCTCAGTAAGGAGCTCCCTCTGCTCCGGTAATGCTCTGTGCTGTGTCTCCTATAGCACTTTCTCTCTGGATTGTAACATTTGTTCACCACTCACTCTTCCCATTAAATAAGGGGGTCCTCAGGCATAGGGGCTGTACTTGATCCGCTGTTCAGAGCAGTCTCTGGCAAGAGCTGTTTGAACCCTGGCTGGCTCTCCTACGATGTGCCAGGATGGGCATCCTGAAAGCAGGGAAAGGTAGGGAGAGGGATTTCTTATCAAAGCTGGTAGACACATGAGTTTGTGTTTTCTAGTCCTGAATTGGACAGGGATGATGGGGAAGGAGACATGCGCCATCTACCGGAAGCCACTTCTCCCACTGCGGAAAATGGAGCCTGTGTTACCATCAACTCGACGTGGGAAGGCCAGCTACCCTGTGAAGACTGTTTGGAGGCAGATTCTTGGACCATTCCTCTGCCACAGTTCTGTTCTTGGAGTGCGCCCTCCGAGTCTTTGCCTGCGGAAGCGACCCCTGAGAGCGAGAGTGAATGGGAAGAGCTGCAGGAGGCTGTGGACTCGGAGGATGGCACCCTCAGGTGGGTGTCACTCTGGGCGGACTGAGACCAGGCTCGGTGTTTCAGTCCACTTAGGCTGCGTGATGGCCCATGGGCATCACCTCATCCCCCTTGCATCCCCTCAGGGGGTCACACCTCATCATGGCATTCACCATGGCCCATGTTCCGTGACAACATCCTATAAGATAGGGTCATTCCCATTTTACAGATGATGCATTTGGGATTTTCCCAGGGTCACACTGTGGGTAAGTGACAGAGTCAGAATTCATCCTCACTCTCCCACTCCACGGACCACATGTTCGGGGCCTTCTTCTGCTCCCGTCTACACGTGGCCCCGTGCCCTGTCTCTTTTTGGGAGGGCTGCTTGTGAAGTGCTGATTCCTCTTTTGTGTGCTCCTGCCTGCCCTTGGGCTAAATAGCTTTCAGAGAAGAGCCTCTGTGTCCTGTATTGCAGTCCTTCTCAACAGCCCCTGTGGCTCACAGTGAGCTCTTTCCTGATGGAAGAAGTCAACCTGTTAACTAAAGATGCCACCGGAAGTTGGGACTGGGTCAGAGAGCTGGGGGCAGACTGTACCGATGAAGATAAGAATAAGTGTGACAAAAAATTGTCTGACTAGGAGCAGAGTGGTTAAACTGCTACCCACCCAACGTCCTGTTAAAGTGCCTATATCATATGTTGTTCCAGTATTTTATTATTTATTTCAAAAAATTTTTAGAAATGTTTGTTTATTTTTGAGAGAGAAAGAGAGAGAGTGGGAGGGGCAGAGAGATGGGGGGAGACAAGGTATCAGAAGCAGGCTGAGTGCTATCAGCATAAAGCCGCACGTGGGGCCCGAACACGTGAACCATGAGATCGTGACCTTAGCCGAAGATGGATGCTCAACCGACGGAGCCACCCAGGTGCCCTTTTTTTTTTTTTAATTTTTTTACTGTTTATTTATTTTTGAAAGAGAGAGAGCACACACTAGAGGGGTAGGAGCAGAGAGAGGGAGACAGAATTGTTCCATTTGCTAAATGTTCAAGACACTTTCATATAAACACATTTTCAAGGCACCTTGAAACTTACTGAAGCGTCGGCTCCTGAAGCTCTGGGTGTAACTGAGACAGCCTAGTTCACTTTCAGCCCATTGTGTTGTAGCTGCATTTTCATCACAAATGGTTGACCTGAATGTCTTAGAAGACAGTGGCAGGCAAGCTAATAAGGTGGGGGGATATTTGAAATTCAAATATGCCAAAAAGACTGGTTCTTATCTGAAACAGGAAGCAACAAGTTCATAGAGGGGATGACATGGAGGCTTTGAAGACCGTGCCTGCCATTCATGGGGAAGTTGGACACTGACAGCTTTGGGGATGATACAATGATGGGTTCACCTAAGTGTGGAGCAGGCAGGGAGTGGCTTATATGTGGAGGGCAATCTTCCCAGAGTGGGCTTCTCAAGGCTGAGGAGCTAGGAGAAGACGGGGTAAGCAATGCTTTGGGGACCCACAGGGAAGCAACTAAGGACCCCAAGTGTCAGTGCTTATGAAACGTCCAGGGAGACCTGCTGTTCCCCCAAGGACGGGAGCAGAGAGCAGAGAAGTGACAAGAGGGCTTTTCAGTTGGAGAGTCCCAGTCTCTAAGCTTGCCTCCGTCACTTACCAGCTGGGTGACCTGCAGACGACGACATTTAAACCATCCAAGACTCAGCTGACTACCAAATGGAGATAGCAAAAGCTGCCTCATTCTGGAAGAGAGGTCAATGCTTGTCAAGGGTTTAGCACACTGCCTTGTGAGTAATTAGGACTTACCAGTGTTAGTGCATTTTAGTCATAAATCATAAAGAGGGCTATCTCTCCAGGGAGATAGTGCAACATTATGAATGCATTCAATCCTGTTGGGTTTATTTTTCCCCCCATGTAGACAAAGGAACTGGGCAGCTTCGTCAGACTTGCGCTCTTCTAACATCAGGGGTGGGGAAAAGTACTGGTCCGTGAAGTGTGTCAGGATCTGGGTGGACTGAGTAGCCCTTAGCTACGGGCAGTGGCTTGGGATGTCATTAGGCCTCAGCCCACCACGGTCATTTCTCCCACCATGATGACAGAAGGCAAGCCTATAGGAGAGTGCTCAAGTGAGTTAGTAGCCTGGGCTCCTCGGAGCAGCCTACAGATGTGCTTTAAGGCATCCATGCATCTCTACAGTTAGGATATTGACTTGCTTGCTTCTTTTGGAAAAAGAAACTCTTCGTAAAATTTTTTTTTGAAAAAGTAACTCTTAACATTCTTTAAATTCTCTAAGTGGTCCATAATCCCCTAAAGATTAAGGATCTCTGTTGTGTATATTCTCTCTTTCATCCTGGAGGTGGGGAGAACCCTGGAGGGTTATGAAGAGGATTTTCCTTATGGATGGAGTCATGCATTCTTTAAACCCACATAAACAAATTATTTTCTTGGGTCTTTTTACACAATGAGATAACAATGGCGCATAGGTAGTTTCCATAAATAATTTCATTTAACCCTCACATCAACTTTGAAGGGTATTCTTATTCTTCTTTTATAAGTGGGACTTAAAAGGTTTATTTAATTTGCCCCAAGTCACACAACCAGAAGGGGCAGATTCATGCTGCCTCTGTCTGATTCAACTTTTTGGTGCATTTTTACATTTCCTCTAGGATGTGTTTTCCATGTGCACCTGTGTAAGACACATGTCTTCCCCTCAGTGTCCTGAATCCTACTAGTTCTCTTCCAAACTATTTCTCTCTTAGGAGGCCAAAGCAATCCCTGCTGTCTGGTGGGATCGAGAAGACAAGCTGTTCTCTTTGGGGAAGGCTGGGGCCAAACGGAGAGGCAAGCCAGTAAGAGCTGCCTATTGTTTTAGGTGAGCAGAGAAAGTTGGATAGGTGCCCAATGAAGAACCCGACATTTCTGCAATGCACATCCTTTTGGCAGTGATCACATAGAAGAGGTGTCAGATGCCCTTGGTCTGGAGAATGTGCTTACGAGCTCTACAACCAGGAAAGAAGCCTATGGGTCCCCGAGAAGGCATCATGGGGTGGAGGGTCTGGCCCAGTTAAGAAGTAACTTCAAAAAGATCATGCCTGTCAGTTCTGAGACTCATTTTGAATAGTGGTCATGACCTCTCTTCAGTTCTGGGGTTTCTGTCCAATAAAGCTGTGTGTGTGTGTATGTGTGTGTGCACGCACGCGCGTGTGTGCTCACAGCGGGCTTCCCCTTGTGAAAGGATTTGAGAACCAACCCCCTACGTGAAGCTAAGCCAGCCCAGGGTGAGGTCTCGCTGCTGCACTGGGACAATGCAGTGTCCCAGTTTGCACTTTTTAGTTCTCCATTGGTTGAAGGAGTTTCCATGGTCTTCAAAGTGCTGTCAGTTCCCTCAAGGGAATCTGCTGAGAGACAGCTCAAAGGCCATGGGAGTAATGGGTTTTGACATCTTTCTCTGTTCTTCCTGTGGAACTCCATATGGTTATAAATTCTTTTTAAAGCATTTTCCTTTTGAACTCAACAACTGGATCCTAAAGATTATATAAAGGAAAACAAGATGGGAATGTGTAATAAAAAAGAAAGAGCAGAGTGGTAGATCCGGCATTATCAGATATTATGAGATAGAGCCACAGCCATAATAAGAAGCTAATATTATATGGGATTAGCTGGTGGACGCAGTGTGAGCCAAGGGACACACTTAGCACGACACAGTAGGGGATACGTGACAGTCAGCATTTCAACATGGGGAAGGAAGACACCTTCACAGAC